CTCGGAACCTTGCGCCAGGAAACCACCACAGCCATCAGCGTTCGCTGTCTCGTTCGTCTGGTCGATCCAATCGGTCTTCCCTTGGGAAATCGCCCAAGTCGCCTAGAGTATCTGGTGAGGAGGCTAGAGAGACGGTGTTGTACAGAGAGGAGCAGCGTGTTTCTCTGCGCGCGTTCCTGCGTACGCTTCTCCAGCACAGGCGGTTGTCTGAGTCGAAGGCGATGCAGGATTTCTTGACAGGAGAACCTATTTCTTTGACTGAGGATGATCTTGTTGATATTCAGAGACGCAAGGAAGTTGATTCTGTTAGGATCGAGGAGCAGAAGCGGTTCTACGAGATTGCCAGACAGCGTGCTGCTGAGTTGGATGTTTACATGGAGAACTTCCGTCGGGATATCGTGGAGAGCAATGGTTTGACCAAGCTTTTCTCTGAGATTCGCGAGAAGCGGACGGTGGCCGATCTTAGTCCCCAGTATCAGAAATTTGCTGAGTGGCTTCGTATCGAGTATGTATTCCTCCAGTTTTGATTGCAGCACATGCTAACTGATTAGGATTGCCGCAACTTTGTATCACCTGTTCTTGGCCGAAGACAACTCTCCTGAGCTGTTTGCGCAGTTCAAGCGGATACACTCACTTGTTCCGTATACTATCATGAAGAACGTGATTCGTGTCGCTAACCCTGCGGCTGTGATGTCTGGTGTGCTAGATATCTTCCTGGCACAGCCATTTGGATCGCGGTCTCTTCTGCAGCGTATCTTCTCGATGACTTTGAACGATGGTATCAAGTCTTTCCAGAAGTCGATTGATGCGCTGGCTTCCAAGGTTGAGGATCCCATGCTGTGCCAGAAGTTGAAGGCCTTTACCGACGCAGACGAGGACGTCAAGAATGTGATTCGTTCCGAAGCAGCAGCTGAAGACCTTGATCTGATCGTGGCGATTCTGCGATCTGAACTGTTCACCCCCGAGCTCGCACCCGAGCAGTTCGAGCGCGTATTCAACGGCTACGTCGCCTGGAACTACGCCGTCGACAACGTCGACCAAGAAATGCGCGAAGGTGCCCACTGGTTCGCCAACATGAAACAACTCCTGAAGCTGTACACCCGCCAACGCGACAAGGCCATGATGCTCAACATCGTCGAAGAGCCTGTCACTCTCCAGTTGTTCCGCGACCTCTTCACCATCTTCTACGAACCCCTCGTCCGCGTCTACAAATCCGCCAACGTCTACAGCAGCATCACCGACTTCGCCCACTTCGCCGACGATGCCATAGCCGTCGTCGAAAAGTGCCAGAGCCAAGACGCCTCCGCAGACCCCAACCAAACCGTCCAAGCCTTCATCGACCTCTGCGAGCGCCACCAGGACAACTTTTACAAATTCATCCACGAGGTGCATCTACACGATAACGGACTCTTCGGCTCGCTCATGTCGTGGATCGAGGGGATCCTGGAGTTCTTGAGGCACGGTCCGAATGGCGGGAAATTGGATATGAATGCGTTGATCCAGGGTGGTGTTGATGTTGGTCAGGTTGATAAGACAAAGGCATTGGAGGAGATTACTGCGCTGATCCAGTGGCATGAGGATCGGAAGAGGTGGCATTTGAATAAGACACGGCAAAAGATGGCTGCTGAGGGGACTGGTACTGAGGGATTCCCGAGTGGGAGCTTTAAGACGAGTGATTTTGGTCTTGATGAGGTATGTCCCCCTTTTCCCCCTGTACCTTCATATCAGAAAACGTGGGCTAATAAAAAGCAGGCCGATCTAGAAGACCTCGCCATCTCCGACGCCGGCTCCGACGACGAAGACCCCGAAGAAGCAGATGAGCATGAAGATCTGGACCCTATTGCCGCTGAGCGCAGACGGAGGGTTAAGAAGCAGGATCAGCTTAGACGGACGGCGGGAGAGCCCGTCAAGCCGGATGTTAAGGAGGTGTTCAAGTTGAAGGAGTCGTTTGGGGTTATGTTGAGGTTGGTTCTCGCTGAATAGAGGATAAAAGGGGAGGACATGGAGGGTGGGGTAGTATTTTTATGAAATGGGGAAATGAAAAGGAGGGGATTTGATTGATTTGTTTGATACCCTGCGGATTTGTTCGTTAGGTTTGAGTTAGATGGTTTCGTTGCTATTATTATTACTAGGGAAATGAATTGCATACATGCATTGAGTTGTTTTTATGTATTAAAATGCACATATATAGTTATCCATAGACCCATTTGTAGCAAACTTCGCCTACACACCGAACACGAATAGGGCTTTGGTGTGTGTGTTAGCCCAAGACCCTATTCTATTCGACATTCAATTCTGTAGAGCCGTATAAGATGATGATGGATAGACACAGCATACTCCATCCCATACGACAGGAACCACCGTCCCATCCCATATCCATACCACAGCAAAAGAAAGCCAGTCGTGGTCATGATAACCGTAATGATAAGATGGTCTTTGATATGGTTGATAAGGCGTCCATGATCAAAGTACTGCCAGCAGGCTTTCTATCCTATTTAAGAAACGGGACTGGCGTATCTGGTTCAGTCAGGATATAGTTGGGTTGTTGGATGTAAAGGTAAACGAGTACGGTGTCAGTTGTGCCGTGCGTGTGTGATGCCATGGTCAATTTCTGGTAAACTAGCATGGCACAGCACTCTTGAGTGCGTCGATCTGTCTTTGATATTTAATTGATGTAATGCTCGATTATGGAAGTTTGAGCAGATCAACAGGAATGTCGGAAGGCCGGAATCGGGAGCCGGAATCGTACGTGTCTGATCATCTTCCAGATCCCGCAAGCCCTCATACAGCCTGTCGTTCATCCTCTAAGAGCTCCTGGATATCAATTGATATAACCTCGGCTCGAACTGTTTCTTCGGGCCTTCAATGATTGTGCATGGTTTTAGTAAAGTCTGGTTGGTAAATCCGATTTTGTACCCGAAATCTCGGGACTAAGCTTCATCTTCCAAATCAAGCTCGTAAGGAGCAGTTGTGGCGGCTTTGGGTATTCCGTAAAATAAGCCACGGTGTCAAAGGAGTCGGGGCTTGCGAAGGTCTTCGATCGTGACCATGTTGGCTTGATTGTAAATGGGCCTTTTCGCTATATGGTTGCTGATCGCCAGAGTCTCTGTCTCTTCATTGGAGTTGTTTTCAGTGTTTCAGTTGTTTAAATGGGACGTACTGTCCTACTTTATCTTCTTGTCATCACAAGATCTACTTGCTCCACCGCTGCTAATATTGACACAATCTGGGACAGGTTGGCTGCCATTTTCCAGCAAGGTAAGGTTAAGTGGAGGCATGGGATCGCGTTTTGTCTCGACCATGAGGACTTCCGGGTAGAACCACCCCAACGGCAGCAAAAAGGACACGATTGGGCGATACGATTTCCTCTTCGACAATGTGGATTTGGGCAGAGGCGCCGAACCTGGGTCTGTGGTTCGTAGGGTGAAGCGGACCTATTTAGAGGCCGTTAGAACCCTATACTATAAAACATTGTCAAAAGGCTACCGTACCCATGAGCCCCAGGCCTGCGTAGACGGTCAGGACTCCTAATGAGGTCTTCTGGCGGGTGTTTCTTATTAGCCAGTGGTTTTACACGGTAAAGCCCTCTTTGTCGTCAGTTCGGGGATACTAGCTTGATTCCAAAGTACCCTTGATTCCAGATTCGATACAACGACGAGTAGATAATTAGGCACCCCGTTGAAGTTTGTGGTATCTCTGTATAACCTATTTCGATTTCGATTCTCTTGCGAGAACTTCTCCACAAAACATTGATAGATGTTGTCCCAAATCTGGCATGGCTGTGGAACGCCTGTGTGAAACGTTCTGATCTATGTCTGGCAAATTGAAGCTAGTAAGAGGACTCCACATTTGTGGTATATAGTGTGGACCGAATCCGTTCAAATATATCGTTCTAGGGCTCTAATCAGTCCTTGATATTCGGGTGGGCGCCACCGGACCCGTCTGAACCCTGAATCGAGGGCTGAGCTTTCCCGGGAAGTTAATCTGTCGTGCTTGTGTGCATCGTTGGGCAAATAGTGGTGATTCATCATAAGCTCCTAGCTCGCTCCAATGGTGGCTTTAATATAGCCCTTGTTCCAGATATCATGAATGGAGCCAGTGAGACGACAAGACATATCGAATTTTTGCATGCATTAGCATGCTTTGAAATTGGCAGAATCTTGAGAAAAAAAGAACTTTCTTTAATCCGTTCTCTCACCACTTACCAGTTGTCAAAAAAACATCCCCAGTAACCGCCAGAATACTGACGCAGATAGCCTTAATACGCCCGTGTGAAGGGTCTGGCGCAAGCCAAGCCCAACTCCAACACGATCCTCGGGCCGTCGGACTCCTGGATGGTTGTGTGTGCACTACCCGACCCGTCCAACCTTTGTATCGTGGTGGGGGCTCGCTCGGCGGCCGTTTGGTTTATTGAGCTCTTGTCGGTTGGCTCATGTTGGCTTTATCATAAATAGCCGTGATTCCATATGTTGTGTAAGGAGTCTGATAGACACCAAGTCCTTGCATATATCAACCCTTTGATTGAAGCTTCGAAGGTCTCTGAACAGAACAGATCTCCATTCCGTGACCAGTTCCTCTCCGAAAAATATGCCCATGAATGTAAAAAGGATGTATCGGGGTATGGGGTATTTCCAATGAACTCGTCTCCGGATTCGATATTAATGGGCTGCTAGAACCCTGAATTATCAGTCGGAGTTGAATCGTAGAGACTGTGTTGACTGCTGTTGTATGAAAATTGAATACAATTGGAGATCAAAATAGATAGAAACTAAAGAAATGAATCCAAGTACTGCAGTCTAAAGCCTCCTATACTCAATCACTGCATACAGAATTCACAACATTCACACTCATCCGTAAAGGGTAATCATAGATGGTCGCGGACGTCAATCATTCATTCCACCCCCCGCATCCGCATGTTACCATAGCGACGACATCGGTCAAAGTACATCCCCTCAACCATGACCGAACACCACGAGAACTACAACTATACAAGCGAGACAATGATATCCCCTCGCAAAGAATCACCCCATAATGCCGGTGGAAATACAGCGACCGCATCCCCCCGCACCTCCACCGCAATCCCCCTAAACGGCCTTTTCATCAACGGCACCTGGCGCTGCAACTGTCCCAACCGTCCACCGGCGATTAAGCTTCAGACGAAGAATAATGGTGTTAATCATGGGAGGTGGTGTACGTTTCCTTTTCTTTTACCCTGGTTTAGTATCGCGAAGCGAAGAAGCTAATGGATGAATAGTCTGGACATGCCAACAACCACAACAGAACGCAACCCAACGATGTAACTTCTTTCTCTGGGCGAGCGATGCGGAAGTAAGAGAGAAGATTGTTGTGCTTTCGAATTCGAGATGCAAGACGGAAACTTTCAACTCTGAAGCAGGGATGGATGCACCGACGACGCCATCGAAGAGGTCGAGAATGTCATTCGGGGACAAGGGCGATAATGGGAATGGGCTGTTGACGCCGCAGACGGAACACAAGACACGGGATTTCTTCATGCCGGTTTCTGGGACGAGGAGTGCGAGGATGACAATGATGGAGGAGGATGATAATGAGCTGTTCGAGGACGGCGATGATATCGGTACTGGGAAAGGGATGTCGTTTATGGATCGATTGAAGCAAGTTCAAAGTGCGAATTCTGAACAAAGCCCGCGAAAAGCTCCACGAAAGGCGACGAATACTTCACCTGGGAAGCGGAAGATATCTGATATTGATAATGACGAACGTCTACAAACCCAACGACAAGGCCTATTCGGGACGCCATCGCGGCCACAATTCTCCCCAAGCCAAGCACAATCCTTCTCACCGACACAGCCCCTCACCCAATGCTCTCCATCATTTTCATGGACCCCGAACCGCGCTCCGCCCTCGTCCGCTGAATTCTGCACAACACCTACACCTACGAAATACAAGAACGTCCTCACCTCGTCGCCCTCTTCCTCTCAGACAGCACAGCAACCATCTGACCTCGCGAATCAAGCGATATCCCTCCTCGAATCTCAATACGTGATAATCCCCCGCTCGACACAGGAAGATCTCGTTGAATTGCTGAATAAATTCGACTTACGGATGAAGGGGATTAGCCGCGGGCGGGATATCTCACGAGAAGTGCTGAAGAAGAAAGATGAGGAGATTATGAGGCTGAATGAGAAGGTGAAGAATTTGGAGAGACAGAGGGAGATAGATGGGGCTGTTTTGGGGGGTCGTTAATTGGATTCGTGGTGGTGGTGATAATGATTTTTATGTGATATGATCGATACCCGGTTTTTAAACATTTCTTTCTTTTGTTAGTGGTTTAGTAGTAGGTAGGATACAGGTGTGTCCATAGTTAGTAGGTCTTCTGACCTAAGGTGCCCATGCACAGCCTGATTGCAGACACCGAATAAGAATCTCACGACGTCTGCTACGACCAAAAAAGCAATTCTCTCGTCCCTGATTTGTTTCTATATTTGACAGGTTCCTGCATCACTCAGCCAATTGATAACTTCCTCAGAACAGCGATGAACACATGTTCAACGGCCTCCACCCAGAATACAATGCCCATACTCTTATTAAGGCTCAGGGAATATTTATTTAAGTTCGACAACTCAAACATAGCCAGTTGATCGTCACCGAGCCACCTCTTGTCTTCGTATCGGCCTTGGCTACGCTTGGCAGATATCGTGGCTGTTATATTAGAACCCTGGATTCGCAGTAGATTGGGTATATGTAAATATCCAGAAGATAATCAAACACAAACAGAGACAGAATACACCATGAAGATCTCTCGACACATTTCCCACGACAGCCATCCGGCAATCCTCATCTTGCGCGTCGCCACCATCTTCGCTTCCATCATGTGCGTTGTTGCTTTTGCATGGATGTTCAAAGCACACGATGAGATGTATACGGATGGCACAAGCGCTTTTTTGACCCTGTTTCCGTTAATCTTTGTACGTCTACTCCTACTCCAAAGTCCATAACCAGTTCCGTTCCAATCGCTAACCAAGAAACCAACAGACCGCATACGCCCTCTTCTGGTCCCTCCTAATCCTCGCCATCCGCATCTTCTCCAACGCCTTCATCCACCCCGCAATCTACATAATATTCGACCTAATCGCCTTCGGCACAGTCCTGGGATGGTGCGCTACGAAACTGGAGCTCGTGGCGAGTTATGGATCGCAGTATTCGTGTAATCATGGACCGCCGGGGTCGTGTGATACTGTTGCGAGGGTATTGAAGGGGGTGGGGTATTTTGGGTGTGTTGTTGGGATTTTGGATTCGTGAGTTTAATCTACCTTGGGAGATGGGAAGGGTGGTGTGTGCTGACTGCGTTAGGGTTCTGTACCTTGTGCTGCTTGTTTGGGCTTGTTGGGTTTGCTCGAAGGGGGTTCGGGGTGTGCAGAAGGGTTGAGACTGGGGATTGTAGGGCTGGGGGGTGGACATGTTTTGTTATGGGTTATGATGATGATGATTTATAATGGTTAATGTGGGGTCTGGGAATGCTAGTTCACGAGCTCCTGGGCGAGGTGGGTGCTTTTAATGGGACGTTGCAAATTGTTATAACTGCATCAAATAATAATAGCTGTTATAATACACTAATCATCCCTCATCCTAAATCCCAAAACCTAAACCCTTATAAACTCCCAGGCCGTCCCACCATTCCTCCCCACGTCAACCACCAAGTCATTCTTCTCTCCTACTTTCATCGGCAAGAAGCCTCCCCAATGCTTCACCAGAAGCAAATACCCACCATCTGGGTGTTCCCGCGCACAGAAATACTCCCAAGCATCATGCCACCTTGCTGTAGCGATAAACTGGTTGCGGTTGTTGTGCCCAATATACGCTCCCGAAATGGAATTGTAAAAGCCCAACCACATCTCGTTGTTTTCCACAATGTACCAATGAATTCCTTCACTGTAGCCCTTTGTCCTTTGAGAAGATAATCCCAGATTACCGTTGTTGAGCGCGATGACGAGGTTTGTTTTGGGGTCGCGGATTATGAAGGATTGGCCTGGCCAGGGGGGCGTGGTGGCTTTTAGTGTCGGTTTGTCTTGAGCTGGAACCGTCAATGAATTTGAAAGAGCCGCTTTTTCTAGCGTCTTCGGATATGCTAGCGCATTGCATTCTTCTCGGTCCGTAGTGGGCAGCATTGTATAGGAGCGCAGGGTTTTCCACACTGTTGTTCTCGGCAAAAGTACGCAAAGAAGCAAACAGATTGCCACCAGTCTCATTTTGCCTTTACTCCCTGGTATTGTAGTAAAAGGAGTTATGTCTTTGATGCGAATTGTGGATTGAAAGTCGGTAGCAGTGTGACGGTCTCGAGCAATAGGAATCTATTGGTAGACTATCTGACGAAATTCTAACACGAGGAGAGAAAGGAAAGAGGTAGGCCTGCTGGCGACGAGTTATCTAGTGTGTGCGAGGGGCTTAAGCGAAGCTCAGTGAATGTCCTATGCCAAACAGGCCAAAGTAATCAAACATGCTATACAGCTAGCGAGTGTTCATGTTCCGTGACAAGCAGTATAAAAATTGAGACATGGATTGAAAGAAAGAGAAATGGCTGAGAGGGGTGGTGATCCGGTAAAAAGTACTCAAGACGTGTACATCTGTACCCCGCCGCTTTTGAGTATCCGTACCCTTTTGGGTCCGCCCTCGCCCAGGCCCAAGAGGCTATTTAGGCCTATTAGCCTACCAACTCCGAATACAACTTCCATTCTTTCATTACGAGGGGTCTCACGTGATGAATCCCCGAGTGATCAGGGAGCGTCGAAGGAGGCTCCAAGACACGCACCAGAGTCCCAGCGTGCTCCGGGAGCTCCTGGAGTGCCACCCTGACTACTCCCAGAGCACTCCCAGAGAATCTATTACATACAGTCATGGATGAAGATCGAGAATAAGGCAGTAATATTGACTTAAAGATACTAAAAGAGTCATTCAACAACCTCAAACTCAACCCAGCCCAAACGATCCTCGAATTTCAACTCAGATGGATCCTCACCCAAAGCCCAGTTGTCTGGATCTACAGGGAATGGAGCATCAAGAAAATTAATTCCCTTTTGCCATGCATGGAAGGGTTTGTCCTTAAGATGACCTTCTAAATCACCCCAGCACCACCATGATGTTCCAATATACCCATCACTCATGTGCATCTTAAAGACTTAAACTACTCCCCAGTCTTAAGCTCACCGCCTTCTACCATGTCAGCGTGGGCAAAGAGCCTAGGCATTGAAAGTTCATGCGTCACAACTGCTTCTCCAGCAGTAGGAATTGTAGCCCACTCCAGGTCGTGTTCCCTGAGGTTCACAGGTAATTCTGAGGAATGGGGATAGTGAGGTCTGAGCATTCCCAGAGAGATGCGTCGGTTGGGATCAGAGGTGGATAGTAGCCCGCCCCCAAATACACCTTGAGATATCATGTCTTCTTCAAGAGCACATATTGTGTGACTGGTACATATAGTGATGGGTTGATCCTGCATTGACTCAAGGATGCGGAGGTGGATACTAAGGCATAGTGCAGGATCAGAGGAGAGAGAAAGGTTAGAGGCGGAGAAAGTTACGGCAATGGTGGCTTTGATGTCTTTAGGATTGCATCTCAACTTGAGCAAGACCATGATGATAGATATAGAAATGGACAGAATATTTGGGAAGTTCGTAAAAAAAAAGAATGGCGGGGTAAGACCTAAATATACGTTCCTGCGTACGGGGGGATATAAATAGCACTTGGGCTGGATTCGCAAAACAAAATCAACTACAGCAGTCACATGATATTGAACAGCGCTTAAAGGCCTTTGTACCAGACAATCCCGATGCATATCCCATAAAAAGTCATGCTAGTCATCTCGGTAAAGCTCAAGCACAGTATTAACCCTGATAAACTCCCACGCCGTTCCTCCTTCTCGTTCAGCATCAACCACCAACTCCTTATTATCCTTTCCCCCAATCTTCATCGGCAGAAACCCACTCCAATGCTTCACAAGCAGCACATACCCACCATATGGGTGCTGTCTTGCACAAAACCACTCCCAACCATCATGACTCTTTGCCTCAGCAACAAACCCCCCTCTATTGTTATGTCCAATATAAGCCCCCGAGACAGCATTTTTGAAGCCAAGCCAGAGCCGGTCATTCTCAACACAGCGCCAGCGACCTCCGCTGCCGCGATGGTAGACGTCAGGGAATAGGCCTAGGGTGCCTTCTTTGAGGGCGATGGCGAGGCCTGATTCCGGGTCGCGGATTATGTATAGACCGCCATTCCAGGGAGGGGCGTTGAATAATACCATGTCAGAGATGGTACTTGGACAGTCGACTGAGCTTGAATCGAAAGTTGAGTCTTCTGCGACACTGGTGTGGGTTGGGGTGTCGCATTCGTACTTTTCGAAGTCTATAGGTAAGGTCATTGTATCGAGTTGCCTTGCTTCTTTGTTGTGTGAGCTGTGTGTGCAAGTAGATTGGTAGCGAATGGACTTACACTGCGCCTGGTTATGTTGTAGGTATCCGCTTCTACTGGTGAAATCAAAGATGGAGGTGCTAAGACGTGGAAAAGGGATTTTGAAGTCATGGGCGGGGGGGTAACAGTCCCATCATGCATATACAGGTGTACTTACAGCATTACATGATATAATTCTAATACTATTTTTCTCTCTAATATGTTCTAGAGCATGAGTGTGCTATGTCACAAAAGAATCATAAAGTCTGTTTATAAAACTCTTAAAAAGCCCTATCAAATATTATGTCATTGTACTACTCGTAGTTATGATTACAGCATGACACTGATATCATCAGCAATACTAATGTGAGAGGCTGTACCTTGTCAAACAATGCTTCAATACGAGCCCAGAAAACGCCCAAGATGTCGTCGCCTACAATAGGCAAAGAAGGATTCGATACACCAACCACTATCTCAGAGGAAGTACTCGAATCTTTATCGGTTACCTATTCAAACTTGAGCGCAACAGTCGGTGTTGAAGCATCTCCTTGGAAAGGAGGCACTTTTATTATCCATGATCCGAAGACAAAACTCGTCGTCGCGCTCAAGGAAGGTGTTTTAGGACTGTTTGATGGCATCTACTAATATGGTGGGAGGAAGCCATTGGCACTCCACATCCACTTTCACTTTGACAAATGTAGTTTACGTACTCACCAGCTCGGTCCATTGATGACCAACATAGTTACGGACCCTGTGCTGCAATATATGCCCTGGAGTCATTGGGAATATGCATCATATATGAATCCAAGCATTCTCTAGGTCAGATTAATTTTAAATATATATATATATATAATTAGAGAATATATATGCAGTACATCATTCAGACGAGGGCCTCGACCTAACAACCTCGAAACCCTTGTCCTTCTTCCCCTTACGGCGCATCCACCGAGATAAAGAAGGACTCGAGTCTGTCGACCCCGACAGAATATTTTGCCTCGGGCTAGGTGAACCCATCACAACAGCCCTCGCAGCGGCGTGACGATAGTATTGATCTGACTCCCGGACGGAATAATCAACATTGGATGGTTTATCCATTTCCATGTCCATGTCTGCCAGCTCCGTATTAGAGCTTTGAGACTCTCGATCGGTCTCTGACGACGGCGTGGACGACGGCGTGGACGACGATGATGACGATGGTATAGGTTGCATAGTTGTCCTGCTTCTGTCGTCCGTTGGAGAGCTCGAAGTATGATTGTTACGAGGGGGTCGAAAGGAGTAATGTCTTTCATTATCTCCAGTGATAGCTGAGCCTTCTAAAGAGGATGCTCTGAATGTCGTATGTGTAATATAGATTGTATTGGATTGGTCTAGTCTGGGTTAGCATTTTGAGATATATTCCATGGTTTGACTTTGACATACCACCAGGGGAAAGTGCAGGTAATTCACCAAAGGTCGTTCGTCGCTTAGAGCGTCGTGATAATTGGTCTAATCCGAATACCTGAGCATCGTTAGCATTGGCCCGGTGCAGGGAGAGATATGGTAAGCATACCGGAGTACTATCTGGACGTCCCGGCGGATCGGCTGTTCCCAGCAAGAGTTTTGCCAGGTCCACGATAGCAGTAACCAGGAATCCGAAAACCAATGCGACAGCATGTAAAAATAATATCGAATATCCCAAATAGCCCTTCGTCCCCTCGCTCAGGCATGCGGCAGGGAGGAACGCACAGCTCATGAGAATAGTTGTCAACCGGACAATAGGGAACACTACTGGTTTCCAAAGCGATGTATCTCGTCTATGATGCAATGCCAGAACAATGATCAGGAATATCTCACAAGCAGCAAGAACAATAATCTGGCCCACTCCGGAGATTTGAAGGCCACCGATAGCTATTCCCTGGATTAAGGGAAGGCCATGCAGCGCATCTGGGAGCCATGACCGAATTTTTCGTTTGGAAAGACTGCTGTCCGTGAAGAAAATGTCCTGTCGATTTTGCATACCGAGGTAGCGGACCACAAGTCCCAGTGTGACAGCCAGGAGAGCTACCAACATGACTGCGAGCAATGTGCGATACACCGGGAAGAACGTCGCCATAAGGGGCTGGTAAAGAGAGAAGGTGACTATAGGAAGGAGGTAGTACTGGAGTACTGTGCGAAGAACACTCCATCCAGCATGCTGGATACGAGTCAGGAATTCTGCTCGGAGGTCAAGGCCTCCTGGTGTCTTCCAAAATGGAAGTATATTTCTCATCCACTTGACGAGTGTAACGATTTGGATGGCAGCCGCAATTCCCACAAGCATCACGGCCAGATTGATAGTAGAATTGATCCAGAGATCACCCACAGTAGTGGCACCCAGGGTCTGAGCCATCTCTTCCAATCCATAAGTCCCATTCATCGTATAAATACCGTCACCGATTCCTGGATAGGTAAACTCATTCCCAATAGGTCCATTGGTATAGTAAAGCGACGACCACGCAAGCTGACTGACGATGGGTTTGAAAAAGCCAGGATAGGATAGAGTCAGGCAACCTGTCATGAAGACAAACTGGATGTACTGTAGACAGCTCCCCATCCCCGGGAATAATGATTCGGCAGGATCGTTGGTGCTGTTAGCAAATTCGTAGCGGAACATGCTCGATCCCCGATTGCGATAGATCTTCATCCCAGCGGCAATGATGCCCGAGACGACCATGATGGTCAATGGTAGTGACTTTAAAAGGTTTGACGCAAGAGGACCGATGTCGGGTGTAATATGGGCTGCAACGCAAGCCGCATCGCTGCCATTGTCGAGTTGAAGACGAATGATTGTCACTAGTGTATGGAGTCGGTATGCTCCGTCCAATGAATAAAACGACTCGTACTTTGTGTACGTTCGAGGATCAGACCTATGCGATGTTAGCATACAGTTTTCCCCCCATGTAGTATTGGGCATACCTCAAATGCCCAATAGGAGAAACCGTTGGGCAGCTCCCATTCGACTCGATCTGATATCCGACAGTACGGCCCAGCACCTTCACATCCACCAGGACCTTTGCGACTGCTCCATTGAATTGCTCACAGCCATCAGGGCCTGGGAAATCCCCTGAGAGCTTCAAGTATAGTACATCTGATTCATCTAATCCGCCACTCAGGCTTAGAGGCTCAAAGACCAGGTTTATCGGAGACGGCGGAATACCGGCAGGGTCGCATTCCAGCCTGCGGATAAACGCCGCCTGCACTCCATGCAGTGCCAACAACACCAGAGAAAGCAACCGCATGGTCTGGGGAATCCGAGATGCAATTCATGGAGAAGAAGTACAAAACGTGGTTTGGAGCGTTGAAAAGGCTGAGCTAAGGCTCCATTCTATTCTTGGAATTTTCATGGGGAACCAGCCAAATGAGGGAGGTCTAACTAAATTAGGAAATCATCCCTCGGTTGAACTACATACCCGAGTGGGCACAGTTCCTTGGCCCTATCAGATTCGGTTAGTTTGGACACAGTGCATACATACTCCATGGAGTATTATGGAAAGAGCCCGAGATACACTCATGAATGGGTGTTTCTGGGCCACCGAAAACCACCGCGTGGATACCGCCAGCGTGGAGCGGCCGGCGGGTGCAATTGATTGACCACGGTCGTGGAAAATTATGTAGCCGGCAGCATGGAGATGCAGACTGACGGTCAACCTGTTTAAGATTCCAAGTGACGTCAATTCTCTCGGGCGAGGATCAGATTTAGATCGGGTCGAATCTCCTCGTGTTCAGGCTTTTGGGAGTGCGAATGGCATAACAGGGAAATATCTTGTGGAAGAAAGTGCTGCACGTATCACTAGGATCGGTATTGATCAACAAACACCCAGAGCGATCCAAAATGCACAAGCTCAGGAGGTGAGGGTCTCTAGCTCGTAGCTAGCCTGCCGATCATGACGCCACATCTTATTGAGCTCGAGCCAGGTGGTTACACCGGTAAAGAATTTGTTCTCCGTTAGTATTATAAAAACTCCCGACATCCTCCATTGTCTATCGTGAAGGCTCACACGTCTATCCACTGCATCATGGCGACCGACGCGGAAACACTCTTCGATCATCTCGGCAAGCGCTACGAAGATGCGTATGCAGATAGTCCTAATCTCATCGAATTTCTCGAGTCAGCAATCAAGGAACTTCCACCTCAGTCCCGAGTGCTTGATGTTGGATGCGGAACGGGAAAGCCAGTCGCGGACATGTTGGCATCGGCCGGCCATGAGGTCCAAGGAATCGACGTCTCTCAGGAGATGCTGAAAATCGCCAGCTCACAAGTTTCCGGGAATTTCCAGAAGGCGGACATGAGAAAATTCACGCCAGATGCTCCACTCGATGCCGTCTTCGTTATATTTTCTCTTTTTCAGCTCACGCCGGGAGAGACATATTCCATGTGCTACAAATTCTCGGAGTGGCTCAAACCCGGCGGCATCGTGGTTGTAGGAACGATGCCTAGTTCGACCGTGCCTCCCGGCAAAGGTGTACGCGACCCGACATGGGATTGTGTGCGGGAATTGGGGAAGACTTGGATGGATAACTACACCAATGAGACATTCTACTCGGAGCATGGATGGCAGAGGCTTCTTCGACGGGCCGGTTTCAATGTCGAATCAGAAGCGCACTATGAGTTCACACCCAAGGACTCTTCCCACAAAACCCTTGAGACTCATTATCTTATATTGGCACGAAAAGTCGAAAATCAGCCACTATTCGGGCCGTATGGCGTTCCATTCGATAATCACAGCGCATTACCCGCTCCTGCGCGCTACAAGTTCACCGACCGTCTGGTTAGCGAAGACCTGGAAAAACAGTTTCAGAATTTGGGGGATGGCGGCGAGAAGATCCTCTCCCTGGGATGTATAACGGCAGATGAAAAGCCCGAAGTCAAATACTCGGACGGACCTATTGATCGCATACCTTTTCCAGCTGGCATGTTCCATGTCGTCCTGGCGTCATGGAAACTCGACTATGCGGACGACATCAGCAAGGCACTTCAAGAGCTCGTTCGTGTAACGAAGCGATCATCTGGTTCAAAAATCGTCATCATCCAAGGAGCACCCGATAACGAAGTGCTACAGTTCTTAAAATCTGAAAATTCCGATCCACCCCATCAAGGTCTGCAGCTTAGATCTGCTTGGGATTATCTAGCAGGGCATGGTTTTAGTGATGTGTCGCTACAGCGGATCAATGCGCATTATGAGTTCCCGGAAGAAGATCGCTCTGAACGATGCAACGCAGCGACTGAGTTTTTGGCTGGCAATCCTTACTGCCAACTAGACAAAGAGGACCTCGTTGAAAAACTTCAACTGCATTTCCAAGGTGACGAGCACAAGATCGGTCATGGAATGGTTATGTTGGTTGCAAATGCAGTCTGAATTGAAGCGTGTTCGAACGGCTGTGTTTTTCTTACATGTATAGACATCAGCATACGATCCTATACGGGCACGATTGGGGACATAAGGGTCTTACATTGTCATGATTTGCTTCGTCGTCCCTGGCCTGCCTCGGTATGAGGCAATACTACATGACCTTCATATTATAGTATTCTCATAGAGCTTGATACATGGTTAATAGTGAATAATAGTCATTCACCAAGACGCTAGCACTTAAAAGACTCAGAAAGTCTTCTCTTCTTTTTTTTTTTTTTTTTTTTTTTTTCCATTCTTCTTCTCTTCTCCCCGTACTCTCTTCTGCATACTAGGCTTTATTAGCGCCAAATCGCGTCTTACAGGATTTCCTTCCAGATCAACTGATCCTTAACTGCTAAGACAACTCGATCATCGCTGGTTTCATATAATTACCACACGCGTTGAATGAACTGTCCATCATTGGTTTTACAATTTACATATTAAAGAAGGCAAAATCAATACCAGTTAGATCTAATTTCTGGAGTTTGACCAGTTTTTCATCTTCAGGGAGACTCGCTTTCGAATCCCTATTACACTTTGGACTTGAGCGTCGGTTATAATGTTTAGCTCTTGAATAAAGCGGTAACCTGGAAAAGGTTAATTTCTATCGATGCAAGCCCTTGCAGAGCGTGCAGCAGGTGCAGATTATGATCTAGATATCAGAATCCGGAAGAAAGCTGAGAACTTTCGGCAGTGGTTCGAAATGCTGAATCTCGATCAGTCACCGATATCAGCCGCGCAGACAGTTACGAGGGGTGCTAAATATATTGCCCTCTCTCTTAAGGTCTCTCCTGTTATTTTGACGGGGTTTCGAGATGGAATTGAGAATTTGCTGGGAGACTTGCTTGTTCGCGTGAAATTTGCATCGTTATACCAATGTGAATGCAGTACTGAGCTTACGGTGTTTTGGATGACGAATTATTTACTATATTAGTACTTGAAGTGGTTCAATAAAGTAGACTGTTTCAAATTTAATTACATGACAAAAAACGATGACCTCACTTGGGCTTCCTTGGTAGCCTAGAGCCTAGCGTAACCTTCCCATTACCACCGTCAGAACATTTGCTTAATTAACCCACTTGCAAGACTCATTCAATATGTCGATAGGTATACAAACCAGGGAGCAACTCCTCCAGCAACTCGGTCATGCCCTCAACCGCGGCAAAGTCCCCGCAACATTCTGGGCATGTCTGAAAGTTTCCGACATCGACGCCTTGAAGACTCTTGTCAAGGAAGCAACCGCTGCACCACGCCTTTTTCGGCTTCTGTTTGACACTAGCCTCCTGTTGCCGCGCCTTTGGATGCAGGGGAAACTCAAGGACAGAGGACTAGGAGCGGAGGTAGAAAGATCGTTGCCATCGGAAACATGGAATGATCTATATTCTGAGGATGAATCGTGCTCTGAGGATGAGTCGTGCTTCGGGGATTAGTCGTGTTCTGAAGATGAGCTTGAGCCAGAAAACACGGTTGAGATGAGAAAAGCGAACCGGAGAGATTCGGGATGCGTAGTCTTGAGGGTGCCGTTTTTTCGAACCTGTCATATTGTTCCCCCATTACTTCTCAATGAGGAGCGGGCAGGCTATTTGCGACCGGCTATTCCGGATTATTGGGAATTGCTGAACATATTCTACGGTGATACTTTGGTGCGAGAGTGGAAGACCATTTTGTCCCGGGACTCTGAGCGCTGTAATAACTTTCTGTGCCTGAATCTGAATCTCTATGTCTTGTGAACCGCCGGATATTTCACCCTGAAGCCGCTCAGGCAGTCAGAGGATGGTACAGAGCTGGATGTCGAATGGCACTGGCTTCCCAGGGTCCGACATGGTCCCCACAATCATGTCCCTCTAGCCACCCCACAATCTTCGTCACTATACATCAGTATGTACCATATCCCAGGCATCGGCCTATTTCCCCTTCCGCAAAGCATCACCCTCCGCGACTTTTCTGAAAACCCTCGAAATCTCCACGACACTTTGCTTGATATAGTCTAGTTCAGTCAGTAACTACCTTTAATTCTCTTGGTAGGATTGTACTCACAACACCCAACAACCATCCAGATAAAATTAAAGAAAAAGTAGTAAAACCAGAAGTAGTACCCCTCCGGCCTACAATACGATACATCAAGCAGACTGGTCGCATAGTACAGAACATCTCCGTACACCTGGCCCACGGAGATAATAAGCTGTAGGGCGTATCGAGCGGGGTGCTCCACTGCGATGCAATAGGCGATGTAGAAGGCGAGGAAGCCCCAGGCAAACTGTCAAATGGTTAACAGAATCCCACTGATAAATATAAGACAGGAAGAGCATACAGCAGTGATGGCCTCCATACAAATCACAAAGGCATCGGACGTTAAATACCGCGAATCAGATAGCGAATACTCCTTCCACAGCTGACCGAATAGCCCTTGGGAGCTAGCGAGGGTTTCATGGTTGACGACGAAGTATGCTTCGAAGAATAAATGGATAAATCCCGCTAGTGTGACATGTCAGAAACATTCTTAGGGTGAGGCGAAGGTGTACATACTCAAACACATCCAGGTAAAAGCAATCTGATCCGATCGACTAGCGGTTGGTCGAATACGGCGTATAGCAACAAAAGCGATTCCCACGACAGCCGCCCATAGAAAGCCAAACTGGGCAATCAAGGAGAACACCGCGGTCTCATTCCGCACATAATGAGGCAGGTGAATCGTCTGCGGATAATATGGGTGCGGGACGGCGATGGATTTATTGCTTAATTGTACTGTTACATCCATTGTGTTGATATTCTTTTGGAGGATGATTCAGGAATGAAATCAGCAATTTCTGTTGTGTTAAATATCTGGATGTATCAGGGGATCAATGTTATGGTAACGCCGACGTAGGGCAAGATCGGAGTCCGCGGAACCCGCGCCCTTTCGGATACGGTCATCCCGAATCGTATCAGCGCATCACCGAAAAGGGGTTTCTCAGCTATTCAGTACAAACCACTCGGAATAACCAGTCATATTCATCATATATCGAATCACGCTATACTTAGAGTACATCGCAGCAAATGGTCAAAGTTTCGAGTGTGGCTGGTTCGCAGGCAGCTTCATAAACCAACCCATATACTTCTCCTCAAGGCCAGGAACTATGCCAGTGCCTGGATACACAGCCTTCTCCCCGTTGGTAAAATGCGCCAGTGCTTCCTCCGCATGGGCTTCAGCATCATATCCATAAACATCCAGAACTGTCTGGGGATCACCGTAAATGTTGCTGCTGCGGACTTGATATTTTCCTTCAAGTTCCGGAGCCATAGCTGCATCGCGGGCCTGCTGCTTAGGGCCACCTGGTAAGTGCCAGATGGCGCCATTAAGGAACGAAATCTGCTGTTTTAGGAAGGCCTTTGGAATCCGCTCAACTTCGTAGAGAGTTATGGCCTCCTGGAGACTCAGCTTTCCTTGAACGACAGCGCCGATGCACTTTGCGAGAAACGCTCCGTCTTCCATGGACGTAGCGGCCCCTTGCGCCATGTGGTTTACCATTGAGTGTGCTGCATCGCCCATCAATACCACGTTTTTCTGGGGAGAAGACCATGACTTCAAGGGCCCGGTCACTAACAGGGGCCAGCGAGGCTGTCATAGGTAGAGCGTAAGTAACAAATCAGGATCTCTGAAATGAGGACAGGCTCACCGTTTTGGGGATCATATCAACAACAGGTATATCCGTGTGTCCAACAAGGGTACCGTCTTTTTGGCGCATGTTTAGTTCTTCGATTTGGACCAAGTTGTCTCCGATCACGTCGGCGACGCCCCATTTCTGGAGAAGGACTGATACGTTTGGGGTAATTTGGATCCCGGCTCCGATCTGTGCCATGGGTATGACCATTCAGGGGTGGTATTCTCCATTGACATGGCAGGCTGGCTGGCTTACCTCGAGCAATTCATCAGCAACTTCGAGGACGGTGACATTCACCCCCGCGCGACTAAAGGCAATAGCAGCTGCCAACCCGCCTATTCCTGCGCCGACGATTCCAACGTGAACGCTTTAAAAACTCTGCAGGTATAAGTAAGATGTCAAGCATATGGGAAGCCGCACTCTACCATAATTGTCGATTATTACAAGCTTGGGGTAGGGGGGAAAGATAATAATAGGACTTAAGATATTCTAACGTGGAAGAATGGTCGAATTGTTTGCCCACCCCGCGATAAATTGTGGGAATGCGTAAGCATTTATCCTTCCAGCCACTGGAGTATACTACTGCTCAATCGGGGATTTAGGGATTCGAACTGCCGGACCGTCGGGGAGTTAGGCGCCCTAAGCACGTGCTCATACTATAAAGGACAGGTAGCTGAGACCTCTCTCAGGGGGGTAGCTTCTATAGCTCTTATGAGATCTGTACATTATCACTGAAACCTCGCAGCTTTGATACTATCAATTGCCGTCCCGTCATACATCCCAGTACAGCGGCATTGTCAATTCCGTCCGCCATCCTCATCTACCAAAGCAGCTTTAGTTGATTACGTTCTCCTTCGACACTGCTATTAGGAGCTCAAGTAACTAATTCTCACCATGTGACTGGCCGAACATCCTACCAAGAAGATCCCAGTCCTGTCCGATCATAAATTCCCCAAGATCCATAGGCGGTACCAAGTCGGAGCCCCCAAGAGAAAAGAGACCCGATGAGTATTCGGTAGAGAAGTGAGGCGCCAATCTATTATCAGAATACGGTTTTTCTGAAGCTGTGCAAGTGAAAGCTGTTAGCGGCCACCACAGTACAGAAAAATCAGGGTAAAAACTAACTCAGAGGGTCCAATATCAGAGACAGCTGGGATAGATATGCCTAACACCGCTCAACGACAGGATTGCCGGAATCAAGTTGACGCAGTGTTTCAGCCGCCGTGTCTATATAGGACCGGGAATGGTAGATCATAGTCCAAGCTGATGGGTTACGGTCACGCTCCTTTGATGCCACGATTAGGGAGCCGAAAATGACTAGTGCTGCGTTGAATGCTTTTGTTGAGTCAATATGGGTTTCTTCGATGGTCAAACCAGACAGGTTGCGACCTACTGTAATAAAGCGAATAGTTCCATGCACCCAGAAACTCACGTCGCCAGCCACTACCGGAAGATATATTGTATACAGTAGACATAATCGACACGGCCGATTCAACACAACTAGCAACACTGTTAAGTCCCATATGCTGAAGCAACCGTGTTTCAGACGTCACCATAGTGTCGTCTTGAGTCTGGAATGAATCGAGGAGGCTCTCCAAGCAGCGGCGATGGACCAAAATCCGAAGGTTATTATACCGCACGGAGAGTACAACATTAAACCTATGATGGATTACGGAGCCTGCATCCATCTTCTCAATATCCTCGCAGCTCATGGGGGTATCCCAGACTTGGAGTCCCAGAGAGGGTAACTGTTGAAGACGCCATTCATCAAGTCGACGCTGGTCTTCGAGGATCCCCGACATGGCATCTATAGAGCTTGTGGGGACTTCGGTCCCTAGATTGGCACCGTAGCACGATTCTAGTACGTTTTAGAGTATGACATATAGCTTTCTGTATATTATCAACGAAAGCCCCCTCAGCTTGCCAACGCAGTCGAAACTCACATTGCAGCTATGAAAAAAGAACCATTCAACATAGGATGAGTCTCAGTTTCCGGGGTCAAACTGAGCATCTGCAAGTTTTGAGAGGGCATGTCCAACTTCACGTAAGAATCAGGGATACTGCACGGGCGGCCGAAAGTCATGCTTAGAGTGCTATAATGATTAAGAATCAGCGCGCAGAATCCAAGAACTTACCAAGAACGACACTCACCGATCAAGGAGCACACATCCAAACCAGGTGCGCTTCCGAATTTCACATTCCAATGGCGGAAACCCCCGATTGGCATCTGGAGAATGAAGACTTAATTGATACGTCGCAGATATCGCCAGCCCATGCGCGGTCCAGGCCTGTACTGACTTTTGAGTACCTTGAAGATACTGGCCCAGGATCAGGAGATATTGTACTACATTTATAAAAAATCAGCTGGAGTGATGTCAAGTCCTGTACGAATACATACCCATCTCAAGACTGGCGTTCCGTCTAGAGTCTCGATCACAAAGGCCATTCGCCCTTTGATAATACACGTCAAACTCCTGTATGCGCTTCTCCGCAGGCACATCACCCTTAGTCGATAGACTTGCTGCGATGGCGAGGACAATGTTGAGTAGACCAAGCCAAGTTCTGCGAACCTTGCTAAATCTTTCCCTCTTCATCTGAAAGTATGTCTTACAGAATGATGGTTCATGGATAAATGGCAGGAGCTGTCCGGTCTTGTAGAAGTACTGCTGAATTAGACTCCACGTACGCTCCTCGCTAGGTAAGGCGTGGATGTTGACAGCCGGGCTCGGGGTCGAGTTCTCGGCACCCGATGCTGGGCCCCTCGACGGAGGTCGTGATTTGGCAATGCTGACCATTCCGCCACATTCCCTTTGCGGCGGAGATGGTCTCAGGGTCGGTTCCCTGTGTGGGCTTGCTTTTGCTATTGCTCGAGATATATAACGCATGAAGGCGATATTGGAAGAAGGCCCTGGTACAGTTAGTGATCAGCAGTTGCATGTGGATAGTCGATTCACGTACCAAAGAAACCACAATCTTCTTCATCTGTAAGCTTCATTGCTCCCATTCCGTCTATCGAGCTCTCGGATACATCAATCTCTCCCAGTTCCGATGTATCATGGCTTCTGGGGCCGGGTGCCACTGGGTCGGTCGAGGGGGGCTTTGTACTGAGTCTTCTGGTGTATTCAGCTCTCTCCTCGACTCTTGACCATCTACCGGTGCCGAGCTAGAGTCCTGGAGTTTGCGTATTGACGCTTCCATTTTCTCCAGTCGCTACTCTAGATGCAATATGTAGCTTGGACGTTGTTAACATCATCGCCTATGGACGTGTTGAGGGCAGTCAAATGGAAGCAATTGCTCGTCACCTTTTTCCCATTGTTAGATTGTTCGGACTGCCACCTTCTCCGTACAGACATTCGACGTCTAGTTCTTGGCACAGGATGCATGGCCGATCACCCGAACACTATATGAGATCCCGTTTAGTCCGTTCGCTTATCTTTCAGACCCCGTTGGGATAAACAAGGGGACTGTGTCCATACCCGGGATTTCCGATGCCGACAAGTTTGGCAGGCCAAGGTGACTCTGCGCCATTTATTCGACTGTGATGCAGATGAAGACATGGGTTGAGCGAGTATTGTTCTTATTCTTGTTGTATTTGAATAGGTTGCAGTTACCCGTGCTCATCCCGGATTACTCTTTAGGTCCAATTGAGAGCGATGTATACACAGTAGCTGAGAAATCCATTCCTCAAAGACCCCAATTTACCCCCCGCTCGCAATTACCGACGTTCCCCGAGAAATATCTGCATTGTATGTCAGCCAAACATAGAAGTGATGCGGTTTTCCTATTTCCCCGCATGGGCCTAATTCCCCGCGAGTCCGATCTCTTTCTGTTTTTCACTGTTGACTGACTACACTTCCACCTTTTTTTTTTTTTTTTTTTTTTTTTTTTTTTTTTGTGAGATTGCTAGAGCATAAACCCGCGCTCCACAACGACTTGGGATCCGGGACTGCGCCACCGGTCTATTTTACTCACTCGTGCGAGTATCCCATACTGCTACAAGGCGTCAAGGGAAGCAATTAAGAGAAGTCACAGTGTGCTTATTGATGACATATAATACAAATTAGTACCTTTAAATTTCCCATCTTCACTCCGAGGAGTATGAAGCGATCGCTTCCTCATCCAATGCTCCAATGCACTGGCAACTTTGACCGAAGTTGCCTTCCCATCCTCTTTAGCTTCTCTAATAGCACTCCCCAATGGGCCATCAGGGAGTGAGAGATCCGTCTTTTCATTCCTGTCATCGTTTACGAGACAGAGAGTGTCATATTCATCCTCAATGGAGGACTAAATAGAGGTGCAGCAGAGTCAGTCAAAACAAGCTAACCCATCCAGAGAAAACCCCATGAGCTCATAGTCTATATACTCCACATTCTGAACATCCATTTCAGCCGCTGTAGGACATATATATTCGAGTTTCTTTCCGCTGAAGATATCCAACCCGATGATCGGAACCTTCTGCACGCCCCTTCTTGTTACTTTCAATGTAGACATGTCCCTAATCAGACATGCATGGCCCTTAATCACGACATAACTGCCTTCCTCCAAGTCGCCGGCCTGAGAATATACTTAGCATTCGATTAAGTTTAATTCTGAAGCAGATCCATGCATGCATGCATAACAACAGAGTAGGGGTAGTAGACGTCTTGTTTGCTCACTTCGCAGTGCTCTGTTCAGTTGGGGGTAGATACATACTTAGTTCAGAGAACATTCTGTGGTTTAAATATGGCGGGTTAATTGTGGGGTTATTTGGATCTTTCAGCTCCGCCACCACCAGATACATCCCACATTCCAACAACCCGATTAGGAGAGACTGGCTGTTGATCTAGAAGCTCTTGCAAGTTAGTTGGAAACTTGTCGGTCTACCACAATAATCCAGAAATTAGGAATCAGGTCAGGCCAGGCCGCGTGTGGCAGAGCTCGGGCCATAGTTCTATTCGCATATACTCTGTAGTACACAACTCTCCCAGTCTCATGAAGACAAATGACCTCTTGGGCCATAATCCATGCTTCTCTATTGACTAAACCACTTACGTGGTTATCTACTGATGCATTCGTCTCTATAGAGATACTAATGGGGTGTTTTTACATCATACAGGCTGTATGTGGTCATCCTATGAAGGATGGCTACCAATTAACGCGCAGTTGAACAGCACAACATGCGTTATGCATGATAAGCACAATGTCTTTGAGCGGGGTATGTTCTCTACATAAAGCTCATGTCACTGCTCAGCTATTTATCGCTCCTAAGCATTTCTTACTTTCTCATTCTCTTTGCTACCACTCTGTTATAGCCAACATGCCACCCAAAGGACGAAAGCCAGCCAAGCGATGGTCCCTATATCCAACACTCCATGATGATGTAGCACGCTTGCTGGAAGAAGAAGACCTTGCCCTCGACTTTTATGATGTCGACACTGATGGCGGCAACACTGGTGAGCGCGATACTAACATCATGGGTCGATTCACATGCCGCAACGGCAGGTGTGGATCCTCCGGATGGTCAAGCAAGAAAATCGCCATCACGATACGGATGTATCCCGAGCAGAAATACAATGCACGAGTGTATCATCAGCGTTGCAGGAGCTGCAACGTGATCAGTCGACCAGTCCTGGACGAATCGTATGCGGAAAGAGTTACATACTGGATTAAGAAGTGGAATGGAGTTGAGGTGGTAAGGCCTGATGATACTTTCCGGAATAGCAAAGGTCCACATAATAGTCAGTTGTGTGAGGGATGTAAAGCTGGTCATTGCAGTGAGTCAGGGGGCGACTGGATTGCCCAAATGAAGAGGTGAGTTACTTAATTACGGTCCATTTTGTATTAAACTAATCGTCAATTCAGATTAACTATCTGAACTAGGCCTTCTGGTTCTCTCTATTTTCATGATTTATCTGCGATTGTCTGGATTTTACTATTTGTGATTTCAATTACCGTGCTTATTTAGCAGTCTGCATGAGTCCAAGAATCGGGAAAAGGGAATACTCAAGTTCACTCACAATCCTTCACGATATCACGATCTCATGAATGTTATTTACTGTTATTCTGAGACATCAGGGTCCCAATTTGTAGCCCGCAGAATCTTTCCATTTCTGAAATTCTCTAAAACATGCTTATGGCCGGATTAGTATGTTCAGAGATTGAGTGAGTAGTCAAGTAATCAAAAGAAGCCACATCATCTTCGATGATCTTGGGTGTCAAAGACACCCCACCATTTCCTTAAGTCCAAATTTGCCAAGGCCAATGCTTACTATACTAAAATGAGAATGCAATAACAATCCCGTGCCTTATAGGCCTAATCTGGACCTCTGCTTCTTTTTGCTCCGAATGTATCGGATTGCAGTAAATTTTGCAGTGTTATAAAATCATAGAATTCTCATCATCCTACATTCCAAAGCTAACGAACGTCTATGGCTCAAACCTAGCTATGATCAATAAGCATACAATAGCAACATGTCCATAGTTAATCCTCTCCGCAATAGGATACTCTCATAGCAGCCTCATTCCTCCCAAAACATTTTCGAAAGCGCCACTTCACCTTTCTCCATCACCGCATCCTTGTATCAAATCACTCTCCATCCACGAAAACGGATCTTCCTCCCCGCAATGCTCAGGCGCAATCCCTTCATGATCCATGAGAATCCCAATAATCCCCAAGTTATCATACTTCAACGCAATTGAGCGGGCGTCTGGGTATGCGTCGTGGGAGAGGAGGATTTCTGTAAGGGCTATATCGCCTTTCTTTGCTGTGTAGCAGAGGAGCGGGTCGGATGGGTAAAAATAGCGTCTAACCGTTCTCTGTGTCCTTTTTTAGCCTTTGCGTCTTCATTGCAGTTTAAGGGCAAGATATCTTCGGAGTGTGTATGGGGTGCTTGGGATGGCAACTTACTTCACGTTCCCGACGTTGTTCATTCCAATCTTCTGTATACTCAGAGGTACGAGCAGTCTGAATATTCAGTGTCAACTTCGGTATCAGGTATCAGGGCCGGTGTAGTCTCCTAAAGGTCCAGGGTCATATGAAGATGACGGATCATCCAATGGGCCATCAGGGAGCAAGAGATCCGTCTTTTTCCCTTGCGATGGCATCATGCAGCCTCGTTCAGCCATCTTTATCGTCGACTGCGGCCATTGCAAAAGCAGTTGGCCAAGGAAAGTTCTCCATAGGCTGCATCGCCCACCTGTTTTTGATGCCTGCCTGAAGCGCTCCGGGCTTTGTTGGCGCCGAATTCGATGCTGGATTACGATATTGCTTGTTCTGGGTCTTTGGTACATCCATATTCATATCCGATTATAAAAAAGATAACAAAGGAGAGTTAGCAAGAATGAGTGTGTGCTCTGTAGCAAATAATAAGCCAGAATCCTTTTCATATAGTGTACGACCCTCAGTTTCACAGCCGTTGAAAGCCAAATAGCAAAGCGTGATCCTTTCCACGTCTCCATCGGGATTGACTATCGGCCCTCGACTGGAACTCCTTGGCTGTGACCTTGCCTATACACTGGTCATTAAAAAAAAAAAAAAAAATGAACTTAGCAATGGCTACATTCTCACCTGCAATTTTTGGGCATAACGCAAGCTACGCCGTTCGATCAAATGGCTGACACGTAGCTATCCCAAAGTGGGTAGGATACGAGCGGGGGATATGTTTGCTTGTTTTACATTATAATCAACTGTATTAATCATTTTGAGACTTACAAAGTCTAAAGATAATCCTTCTTCGACGACGCCAATGTGTATCTTTAGACAAAGATAATCTTTTTTTTTTTTTTTTTTTTCAATAAAGGGCCTTTCTATATGCACCGCTTAGTTCTTTAAACAATGCCCATAATGTCGCGTTTCTTGTCCCGTTTGACTGTGCCTTTGTCTATGAGGACTAGAGCTACCCCATATTTGTCCTCCCAGTCAGTCTATCTACCTAGCTCCCTACTATCCATTCATCCGCTATCCATCAATAGTCCTCTTCGGTGTTATTCTGTCAAAACGAACATGTCCTCCCAACGACGAAAACCAGTTGTTGAACGATGGTCCCTGTATCCAAGACTCCACGATAGAGTAGCACGCTTGCTAAAAGAAGAGGGTCTCAAGTTCAAATTTTACAATGTCGACAACGATATAAACGACATTGACGAGTGCGACACTAACATCATGGGTCGGTTTAAATGTCACAACCGCGGGTGTTCCTCCTCCGGATGGTCGAGCAAGAAAATCGCCATTACGATACGAATGTACCCCGGATATAAATACAATGCACGGGTGTATCATCAACGCTGCAAGAGCTGCAACAATCTCAGTCGCCCGGTTCTGGACGAGTCATATGCCGAGAGAGTCACATACTGGATCAAAAAGTGGAATGGAGTTGAGGTGGAAAGGCCTGATATATCCGGTGAAAGCAATAGTCCGCACAATAGCCAGCTATGTGAGGGATGTAAAGCCGGTCATTGCAATGGGTTTGTGGATGATTGGGAGGTGAGTTTTAGGTCAATATTCATCTTGTATTCTACTAATCGCCCATTCAGATTGATTGAACGTATCTCATTTTACTCTCGCAGTCTATTATAATTGGTGCAATGAGTTCTCGTATCGCCGTCAACTAACGAACTGGAGCTGGGACTCTCGAGTGCCTATAATGGGCCCTTTTTTGCTGTTACCATGTCTTCATCCGCCCTTCTCTGAATTATACTATTTGTGATTCCAATTGCTGTGTTTCTTTCACGGATTTCATAAGTTCAATTATCGGGGAATGGAAGTCCTCAAGTCCGCCACAGGAGCCTATACTTTAGAGTGTAACGAATATTGCTGGTCGGTATTGCGTATTGCTATTTTATCACATTCTGACTAACATCCAGGTCTTAATTTGTAGTGCGTGAGGTCTCTTTATCTCCGAGATACCTTGGAACGTGTTTACTCAGTTATCAGCTCAATAGTCAAGTGGCTTCCATAAACCCGAATTTGTCGGGGTCGATGTTTACTATACTGAAGGGAGAATTCGGTAGCAATAAACGCATAAAAGGTTGAGGGAGAGCAAGCGACACGTTGGTTTCCTTCTATGTCTTATAGTCCTCTCGGGTTAGGCCTGGCGTTCTGACTCTTTTTGCTCTAAACAGACTTTGATGGATTTTCCGATACTGTAAGTAGCAATAAACCATGGAAGCATGAAATTATCACCCTCCTACATCTAAATAGCAGCGTCTGCAGCACATATCTACAGCACGCATACAATAACAGCATGTCCTCTGACCACAATCAGATACTTCCACACTAGCTTCACTCCTCCCAAACCACCCTAGAAAGCGCCACCTCGCCTTTCTCCATCACAGCCCCCTTAACCAAATCACTCAGGGTCATATGAAGATGACGTATCATCCAGTAATCCCTCCTCATCGACCTCATCCTCATAACTCCACTCTTCACCATCGTCTTTGTTATTGTTATTGTATTCCATTCCATCTGGCTCCATGATTGCAGCATCGATGCATGTCCTTCTCACAGCAACTTCAACTGGTGGTCGAATTTTCAGAAGGACAGGCTTATTGCTCTCCCAAACAGCCCATCTGGTTCCGTAGCCGTTGAAGTATTTGATATCCTATTTGTATAGGACGTCGCTCACGATTTCGTACAAACGGCGGTTTGTCTGGGATAGGGCGCTGATGTCGGATTCGGTGAGTTTGTTGGATATTAGTAGTAGTAGCTCGGTTGGGAGAGTCGCGAGCGACATGGTGGACTGGGTTGGACGAAACAAGTCGGATCCCTCATCGTTGGCTCTGGTGTTAGTCAAGCCTACACACCGGGTAATCTTGACTAGAACGTGGTGGCGTATCTATCGATCTAAGGCTATTCTGATCCAGAAAAGTAGACGTTGATGGAATAGAATAGCTGAACATGTCACTTCCTGACGATGCAATGTCCAGGTTATCAATTTGCGGCACATCGAGTCCATCTATTTCCGAGAATTCTGGAAATGTATGTAAAGCCGGATCGGTATGTTTGAGAATCTGTTCAATAGCCGAGTAATCGATAGAAGCCAAGGGATCTTCGATAATTCTGGGTGTCGTAGTCTCTGACGCTTGAAAGGCAGATCCGCTTGGATCGGGGGGTGCCTGTCGTTCTTCGTTTCTCTGTTTCTCTCGTGATGCTGTTGCTTGCGCCATTAGCCGGGGCAACGGCTGCCACAATGGCTTATTCTGTTCCACCGCTTGTCTTTGCCATTGGTCAAAGATATCGGATACGCGTGACCATGATCGCTCCAATGGCGGGCTATTCGAGGTAGTACAGAGTTGAGCCAGAAGATAGGCGACTGCATACCAGGGAACACAGGTCTGAAACTCCCATTTCCATCTCGCCATGGTATCGTTCGTCTGCAGCAGGTGCGAGAGCTCGATTACTTCGACTGCGTTGGAAAGTAGCATGCTCTGTGTGTCTGGGGGTAAAGAGGCGATGCTTTCTTGTTTCTTCAAGGGCTGGTAAATAACCAGCCATAGTTTGGCGACGGCTATACGTGCGATCTTGGTGCAGGCCCACTGTAGAGGGATAGATGGGTCACAATGGCGGACATATCGTTCGTTGAGGCGTTTCTCGAGGTCCTGGACGAGAGACTGGCGGTCTTCGATGTTTTTCAGGCCAGGGCATATATTCCCGGGTGGGTTGTAGGTCAAGCGACGGGTGGCCAGAGCGATTTCACATTGAAGAAGGAAGTAGGTCATATCTGGGCAGCCAATACGTTCCTGTGGTAGATGCTTCATACCTTCGTATATGTCCTCATCATTTATATTTAAGGGAAGCTTAGTGTCGAAAAAGATGTCATGCAGCATTGGATCAGTCCCCAGATCCTCTGCTGTCTGGACATCTAAAACACAGATATACCACCACAGACGACGACGCATCTCCGCCTCAAATGGTTCCAATCCAAAATTTGATCCATCTCGATGAAGGCCCAGGCCGAAAGCCAAACGGACGGCAGTAGAGGTCATTGTCCACGCAAACTCCGTCTCCCCTACGCTGCGTAAGGATGCCAAATAAAGTACGATGGCCTGGAGCAATGTCAAGCTCTTGGAGCTCATTATGCGGGCTCTTGGACATGCCTGCTCCGTGGCAAACCTAAAATGATCAACAACCACTTCCTTTTTCTCCAGTAGGAGTAATTCACATTCCTCGGGGCTCATGCTAACAGCCGCTGAGAAACAGAGGGCAAATAGGAGACACTCGGAGATCTCGTCTTGCACTCTGTGAGATCTGTAAATGACTTTCTGAATGGTCTGAGGGTGAAGAATCATAAGAAGCGGTGCTACATTCTGCTTGTATGCATTCAACAACACAGACAGCTGCATCGCACTTGGATGATAGTTGACGAGAGATTGGGCTACAGAGTTGTAGCCAAAGATGAACGCGTCGTGGTTTTTATTACTTGGATGAATCATATCCGGATCAAGTTCATCATCAACACCGGGAGAGGATGGTTCCAGAATATCGTGCAATTCGGCAATCTAGGTCCATTAGCAATCCTCGGTCTATAGGATTACCACCACAGCTGAACATACCTGATCACTCAAACTCGCCCATAGTCGATTACTCACATACCGACAGCATCCATCCTCAACCACTAGCCGACCAAACTCCTCTTTACCATCATGCCCGCGCAAAGCCGTTTTAGGATCAGTATATAAATATGGACACTTCTCAGTGCCAGTCTCTTCTCTAGCACAAGTTTCTCCATTTGCTCCAGAAGTTACGGGATGTCTGAGATACTCGACTGTATCTTCCAACTGTCTCAAACGAGCCATGACATCTTCTCTGGACGCGCATTGTCGATGATTCCGAACTGGTTCTGGAAAGACACAAGGGATTCCGGCCTTGACGCAATTCGAGCATGGGTCTATTTTATTGCACCGTACTTTTCTGCGGCGACAGGTGGCGCAGCTGAGTGGTTGTAGCCGCCCCAGAGGCATTGTGAGGGTTGTTGTTCTTAATTTAAGTGCTTTGCGGTTATTCTTGGGCGAAATTTCGACTTCTCGGTATGTTGGATCTGACTGAGATTCAAGCAGATGGCAACTTTCCGAATAGAGGGGTAATCTTATCAGATCCGAGACCCGAGTCCGAGTCCGAGTCCGAGTCCGAGTCCGAGTCCACATCAACCGACAGCTATGCATCCAGAACTCGTATAAGTGACAATGAACAAAATGTAGTTCAATTGTTGACAAAAGAGAAGTATCGCAACACTTGCACATGCTTATCCATTATTACTTTCTTTTCTTTCAATTCTGTCTCAATCTCAACGCTACCAACGCTTCGGACTCGCCGCTCGGACTCCGAGAGCGAAGTCCAATGGATTGTATGAACCAGAATCTGCCAACGACTATGAGTCTAAGCACAAATTCATCAAGAAATGAACATATAAAATTGAGATACCTTCTGCCTATCGAAGCCATGCCTGTGAAAACAAACTACCTGAAATCCATTCCCAGTCGGACAATCGCTACATCAAGCCCACACACCCCGATATACAATGGCCCCCAAACCAGTACAACACATCGACGTCCTAATCGTTGGCACGGGCTTTGGCGGAATCGGTCAAGCCTACTCCCTGCGCGATCTCGGCCTCTCCATCAAGCTAATCGACTCTCTTCCCGGCGTCGGTGGAACATGGCTCACGAATATCTACCCCGGTGCCCTGAGTGACACGGAGAGCTTCGTGTATCGCTTCTCGTGGGATGCGGAGGATTTGCAAAATTACCCTTGGAGCAGACGGTATCTGCGACAGCCTGAGATTCTGGCGTACTTGAAGCATTTCGTTGAGAAGCATGACCTTTGGAAGTATATGCAGTTCAATACGGAGCTGTTGTCGGCTCAGTTGGTGGAAGAGACTGGTGTCTGGGAGGTTAAAGTCAGTACGGGGGAGATTTACTGGGCGCGCTACTTTATTCCTGCGATGGGGTTTTTCTCCAGGGCAAATTTCCCTGACATTCCTGGGATCGATTCCTTCGAAGGACGAATCACGCATACATCCCACTGGCCCGCAGATCTTGATGTAACTAACAAACGCATTGGTGTTCTAGGCTGCGGCGCTAGCGGTGTCCAGGTGATCACCAACATCGCACCGCACGTCTCGTCACTGACTGCATTCATTCGACACCCGCAGTACACCCTACCCAGCAACGACAGACCCATCACCCCCGCATACAGGACCTGGGCGAACGAGCATTACGACCAAATCTGGGCACATCTCAAGACCTCCTTTGCCGGTTTTGGCTACGTCGAGTCCAATCGTCCATTTTTCTCCGTTGATCCTGGCCGTCGCGAACAACTCCTCGAAGACCTCTGGAGCAATGGCAACGGGATGCGTTTCATGCTTGAGCATTTCTGCGACATCACTACCAACGAGGATGCCAACGATGCGGTATGCGACTTTATCCGCAGGAAGGTCTACCAGATAGTGAAGGACCCGGAAAAGGCGCACAGGCTCATTCCCAACGAGCGCTTCGCCAGGCGTCCTATCTCCAACGATGGATACTACGAGACATTCAACCGTGAGAACGTGTCCAACGTATATCTAAAAGAAACCCCAATCAAAGAAATCACGCCTGATGGTATACGAACCGCAGACGGAACCTGCCACGTCCTCGATGTAATCATCCTAGCTACCGGCTTCGACGCCGTCGAAGGCAACCTCATCCGTGCGAACATCGTGGGCCGCAATGGCAGGTCACTCAAGGATACATGGGCAAAGGGTCCCAGGTCCTACCTTGGTAGCTTCGCAGCCGGATTCCCGAATATGTTCATGGTAAACGGGCCCAAGGGTGTTTTTGGGAATGTGATTCCGGCGATCGAGGCTAGTGTTGAGTTGATTACGAATGCTATTCAGCGTGCTGAGTGTTTCAGGAGGGAGTATTGCGCGAGGGGAATTGTGGAAGCTACGTTTGAGGCGGAAAGTGAGTGGGGTGAGAGGTGTGAGCAGGCTGCGAAGGGGAGTCTTTTCAGTGAAGTGAAGGGCTCTTGGTTGAGTGGGGGGAATGTCCCGGGGAAGCCGGTCGGGGTGAGGACGTATCTTGGTGGGCTGGGTGATTATAGGGCCATGGGTATGGGTGCTACGAGAGATGAGTGGAAGGGATTCGAGCCGTTTTAGAGACAGCTCGTCCTGACACAATGGTTTATTCAATTGAAGCTTCCCTTTTGTAGAAATATATATTTACCCAGAGGCAATCGTCAAAGCTGTATTAATACAAAATCACAAAAAGAAAATTACTCACATAGATGAAAATAAATTTTACTCATCTCAGCAGCATTCCAAACCATAAAAAAGTAATCTGTACTGAAGTAGGACGAAGTAGGGTACCGATAACTACAAAAACCTAATCCATTATGTTGCGTATTATTCCCTGTCATAATACGCTAAGTGATGAAGCCTTTCAAGAATTGGACACTTTGGCCGAGTGGACTAAGGCGCGAGACTCGAATATGGTTTCCACCATATCTGGATATCTCGTATCTTCGGATGCGCAAGTTCGAATCTTGCAGGTGTCGTTCTTTTTGTTTTTTTTTTCACCTCTTCTCCCCTTTTTCTTGAACGAATTGGATGTAATCTCTGGTCTCTACGGAGTACACAAAAGGTCGTTCAACTGGCATTATACATTCGCTGCATGTCGACCTGCAGCTTCAGATTGCAGTGTGCAACGGAGACAATACAATATAATACCCCCGAGACTTCTTTAATGTTTCTTTAATATTTTTTATTTGAATTAAATATCGCCAAAACCCGCCAAAACCAAGCTTTGCGATCGCCAGTGAAAGACAGGACCAGAGAAAGCCGACATAATCCCAAACCCACTCTAGCGCAACTTCTCTTAAGTTAAGAACGGCCGAGATCCTGTTACGGAACGGACACTTTGGCCGAGTGGTTAAGGCGTGTGACTTGAATATGAATACTTATGTATTCGAGTCGATATCACATACGTTCGCGTTCGCAGGTTCGAATCCTGCAGGTGTCGTCCGCTTTCTTTTTTTCTTTTCTTTCCCCCCCCCCCTATCTTTCCCCCCCCGGTTTAATCTGGGTTTTCTTGTTGTTTTGATTATTTTGAAAGCAATAATAACTTTTGGATATCTAAGCTCCAATGAAATCACTTTTTGATCATATATATACATTCGAAATCCCAAACGCCTGCATAACTCGTACTCGTACCAAGGGCACTAACCCGTCCTAAAAGCCACATCCGCCGGCAACCGGAAACTAGCACAGAACATCTGCTTCTTCGGACTAACCAGTCGCACATTATGGATCTCCAGCTCCGGATACTCGGGCGTAATGGTATAACCCAACTTCTCAGAAATGCGCTGACAAATATCGACATGGTCGTCGCGTTCGTTTTCCGAGTGTCCTGAGAAACAATAGACGTGAACCATGGGTAAAGGCTGTTGAGCTGTAAAGAGGGACTCGTGGCCGGCGTAGACACCCGCGAACGCGTCGAGGAAGTCGATTGCCGTAGCGGGGAGGTTCATTACGTAGTGGTTGAAGATGGAGGGACGGGCGTATTCTTCGGGATGGCGTGGGGGTTCTTCGGGTTTTCGTGCGCGTTTGGGTTTCAGGCTGACGGTTAGGGGTTCGGATTGGAGGAGTTCCTTGGCGGACCATGGGATGAATTGTCTTCCGTCTTTGTTGAAGGGGAGCACGAATTGGTCGACGTGGTTCATCTTGACTGCTTCTTGCATGGCTTCTGTGCCATGGGGGTTGAGGTCGTTTGCCCAGACGAAGATCTTACGTTTGCCTGCTGGTACGGCGAAGGGGCCGACGCCTGCCATTACATCGCAGACCATTTCACCGGGGTGGAACTTGTTGACTAGGCGGCGGTGTTCGGTTTCCAGGCGGCTGTTGTAGTATACGCGCGCGTAGTCGAAGCAAAACTTGCAGTCTTGCTCGTGGACAGTGACATTTGTGTCGTTGTCACCGGCGAGGAGCTCGAATGGGAATGTGCGAAATTCACTGTGGGAGCCGACATCCTCGATCTTGTTGATGACGGTTCGGATTGTCCTGTTTTTGTCCTTGAGGATCTCGGCGATTAGGTGTTTATAGGGGAGGTACTGTTCGCGGAGGTTCAGATGCACTGTACGGAGGACACATTAGCATCCTTCTTTATGCGAAAAGCAGCATTGATCCGGCACTCACAGACGTGGCCGACCTGGGTGAAGCCCTGAGGGATCTCGTCGAGAAGATCTTCCGGCATGATCGAGGCAATAATATCAGCTGTAGCATGTTAGCACCCCGTCACCCTCGCCACAATTCCAACCATAGAAGCTCACAATAATTCCAATAATCATAGTCCAACTCCAAATCAAACGGCCTCAATCCCACCGTCCCCTTCTCCACAAGTTCACTGATCTTCGGCGACCACGTCGCAGCATCTATACCGTCAGCCCTTTCTCAATTCCCCAGCAGAAAAGCGCGCGCATACCATCATGCCTAACATCCTCCCTCAACAAGATCCCCCTCCTAATCTCCCCCTCATCCTTAACCTCACGAATTGAATTCAACCGCGGCAACGCCAACATATCCCTACTCTTCAGCAACTCCTTGCGCACATTCGAAATATCAGAGGCCTTGTATATCGCCGCCGCAGAGAGTGGTATTCTCTTTTGGAAGAATGAGCGGTCCAGGACTCGCATTGCGCGGTTTATGGGTGGGCGAAACATCTCGGGGAGGTCGTTGGAGGGTGGTGGGGGATTGGATTCGTCGGTGCTGGTTTTGGGAGCCATTGGAGGCTAGTTGGAGGTCTGCGGATCTGAGGGAAAGATTTGGTGAGGATTGAATAGTGAGTCGTTGGATGTGTTTTTGTTGGAGTGATTTTTTGGCCCCGCGATCTTATCAGTACACGTGATTTATCGATAGCGATCTGCCACTTATTCCGCAGAGCAGATGGGGGCAGGAAAGGATAGAAAATAATGATCGATTTGTAAAAAAGCGCTGACAGTATGAAATAGACAAAAAGAGTGCATAGATGAAGGGAAGCAAAAAAGAAAATAAAAAAAATAAAACTAAAAAAGAAACGACACCTGCAAGATTCGAACTTGCGCATCCGAAGATACGAGATATCCAGATATGGTGGAAACCATATTCGAGTCTCGCGCCTTAGTCCACTCGGCCAAAGTGTCGATTGTTGATTGGATAGTCACTAAAGTGTACCATGACTAGCAATAATGTACGCCATGCTACAGCAACTTTATTTAGCAGCCACTTTTATCAACCAGATCAATAATTATAAGAAGGCAATAATTACAGAACTAACAACTGTTTTCTACAGAGTAAACTTCTAAAATATACTTACGAGCGAGTATCGCAGCGACGGCGGTCAACACCTCACCGCCCGGAATTGCCAACGCGAGTTTTCCAACATCACCAACCTCCCATTAGGAGCTCTCAATCCATACGATACGACTTACTGTGCCAGAAACTACACCACCACCTTCGAAATTACTCAATATCCACAATGAGCGTCCAACTTCCCCCAGCGACACACCGCAAGCGCGTCCTCCCCCAAGGCGAACTCGAAGCAGCATCGACCCTGAAACTCGGCGCGGACCAGAACACGCATACCCTCTCGCTATCGGAGGCGCGACTGGTCATCAACAAGGTGTTGGAGAATAAGCGACGAGGGGGGAAGAAATATGAGGAGCCGGAGTGAGTCAGCCGGGCTGGCACAGGGGGTTGAAGTTGCCGCTAACGGTTGGTAGGAACCTGACAAAGACAATGGACTATCTGGAGGTGTTTGCGCGATTCAAGGACGAAGAAAATATCAAGGCTGTTGAGCGGTTGTTGAATTCGCATACGGAGTTGGAGATGTTTGAGCGGTCTCAGTTGGGTATGTGCCCCTACCGTTGGATCTACGCAGGATGCTAATACATGACAGGGAGTCTGTGCTGCGATAATGCAGAGGAGGCCAAGTCGTTAATCCCGAGTCTGCAGAATAAGATCTCCGACGGGGATTTGCAGGAGCTGTTGGATGAGTTGACCAAGTTGCGGAACTTCACGGAGTAGATGGGACTTTGTGGGGTTTGTTTGTGTCATTATACAGGGATAGCATGGAGTTTTGGCGTTTGTGTTGATATCTGAGATATGGATATGATAAATAGTGCATGAGATAAGATGGCTTGATTGTTTGTTAATGTTGATGTTGGTATATCTGATATCTATGGTGTGCCAGCGTGTTCTGATTTGACAACAGCTTTATGCATCGTTGAGATACTGGATTTGGTTACATTTCGATCTGCATTGGTGCCTAGAGTTATGGAATATCCCAAGTCAATACTAGACATGGACCGTAAATGGCCAAGGAGGCATTTCTTAGGTTGTATCTCTCGTGCTCCATGCTGGAGTACTCGCCCCATACATCATCATTTCTGGGCACTGGGCACTGGGCACGGGATATATTAACCCGGCTCGTTGTACTCCGTCAGGATATGGGGTAGCGGGGATATATATCATAATAGTAGTAGTAGTAGTAATAGTGTCACTGACTCGTTACCACGATATATCTACAAAGTACCGCTGTTTTGTACATAGTAAAGTTACCTTCTCTCTCATCGTTATTGCCACCAGTAGACACGTGATAGTGAGGCGAAGTACTCCGTATTGTCAATCGTAACGGTAGCTGGACTCCGTAGATGTACCGATTGGGTAGGAGATCGCACCGTAAAGAGACAAATCGCCACCAGCTCGTATGACTCAATTGTATGACTGATGGGAATTGATTTCGTAAGGAAAATGCGACTAAAAATTACCTGCATATGGGCATTTAATACACCGTTCCGTACTTTGTATACGAAGTTCCCGAGTCTCGATATCGTGTAGTACGGAGTAACAGAGTACTTCGGAGTACAGAAGAAGTGTTGATTAGTCAGTCCAATTCAGGTAACTACCTATGATGTTATGTCGAACACAGCAGAAGGAACCAAGATCATCCCAGCAGTGTTTAAAGCACAACCCACCAATCAGTGTGTCGGTAATTCTCGACCGACAAGGCTTCTGTGCAGCAGACACCTTTCCAAATCGGGACTAATGCCAGGGCCAATATGGGGAATCCCCACTTATTACAGAGCTGATCCCCGTTTGTCGGGTTTGACGCTAACCTTTTTTGGAGGCGTAAATGGATTTTATTGGTGGACTGGGATAGGTTTTATCGGGGGATGCTGATTGGCTGGTATTTGTGAATGGCGAATGGCAGGATTGTATGGATACTTCTTTGTTCTTATGCTGTACAAAGTACTACTCCAAAGTACGTACATCTATCCTGTCCTTGTACTTGTTCTGGTAGTAATGTACTGAGTAGTATTCTATCTCCAGAGTAAAGATAGATGTCATACCATTACTACACGCTACGAAAACCATCGGAAGCCAACGTGCCCAACGCCAATCCAGTACGTAATGGAGCCTCCGCCAGCCGCACTACCCAATCAGAGGTCACGTACTTATCTGCGCGCCAGAGAAAATGTTACGTTTGGAATATGGAGAGATCCGGAAGCATTTTGAGCCTGTGAGGTGTTTCTGTTATCCAATCGACAACATATCCTCTACACTAGTTCTTCGAATCTTCAATAATCTTCACCTTCACCCTTCATATCTCTCTACTATTACTTCGTACAAGTACTGTACTCCTCTAGAATGACCGAGCGTTCTCTCCGCTATCTGGTTTTCCTGCAGTCCCTGGCCCCGGCTGCTTCTTGACTGATTCCCCGTTTTCCGCTCCGCCAGCGGACTTTTCCCTCCCGTCCTCTCCTCTCTCTGATAGTCCCTCACTGCCTCTGATATCCTCCCTGTTGCTCTGTACAACTGCTACAGCTTATCTGATCGGCTGTCTGCAGCCACACTGCAAACGCACACATAGACCGACAGATCCTCCGCTCTCCCAATTGGTCTCTGGCCACCCAATCGCGGAGCCCTTCGGAGGATCTTTCATCGCATTCTCTATCTGCTGTCTTGCGATTACCTATCTACCTTATATCAATTCTATCTGTCTATTTATCCCTCTATCTCTCCCTTGTCAGTCAGAATGGCCGCCGTTATCACGCTCCAGTCGTCCTCCGCGGCTGGTCCGGCGGCCCCGTCTTTCCAGCAACAGCAACAGCCCCAGCCTCATTCTCCGGATTCGCAGCCATCGCATCGCCGTCGTCTATCTCGTGCCCAACAGCAACAGGACGGACCCCCGTCTACGCCATTGTCCCCGGTCTCCTCTTCGACCCTAACTGCCTCCGCTGCCCGTGCTGCCGGCCGGGATGGACCCAGTTGTGACGCTTGTCTCCGCCGAAAGAGCCGCTGTGCAATGAACGAGATGGTCAACAAATGCTATTCCTGTGACTTTCACCGGCAGGAGTGCACCTTTAACCTTACCTCTGGCGCCGCTCGTCCCAACACTGCGGAACCCCTGTCCAAGAAACGAAAGCTTGAGGACTCGGTCCCGGAGGATGCTGAGTCTGTCAAGAGGTATGTTCACCGATCTCGGATGCATCAATCATATGTTCTTTTGTACTAAACGTCGAATCCTTCCGCAGACCATCGACAGTTGCTTCCACAAAACAAGGTCAGGGTCATTATCTAGTCCCCGGTTTCTTTGACCAATCCATTCAATATATTGGATTGACCACCGAGTTTGAACCCGCCTTGTTGGACCACGTTCCCTTGGACCAGAACAACGAAGGCATTGTATCCAACTTTCGTCTGCGGAAGCTGGGTGACGATACTTATATCCGTGTCCGGAACACGATGCCTGACTCGGTCTCGGTCGACGCCATTGAGAGCCTGGTAGCTCCTTATGGCGCTACCTTGATTGAGAAGTTCTTCGAATATGTCCACCCTACGTTTCCTATCCTCATGGAGGATACCTTCCGCCAAACCTACCGCACCCGAAAGAACCTGTCGCCACTCTTGCTGGCTGCTGTTTATGTCTTGACACTCAAGTTCGTGGACATGCCAGCGTCTCAATCCGTTCGACGACCCGACGTTGCACGTCTGGAAAGCACCGCTCTCAAACTACTGACGGAGTCGCTCCCCCGGGCCACGGTGGCCACCATTCAGGCCGGCCTTCTTCTCATGGAGAAGTCGACCGTGGCGACCAGAGCATTGAACGCACAGTTGGTGACGGCTGGGTTTGAATTGGGTCTGCACCAAGACTGCACCCATTGGAGGATGGACACCTGGGAAAAGGGCCTTCGGAAACGTCTGGCCTGGGCGTTGTACATGCAGGACAAGTGGTCCTCACTTGTTCACGGACGCCCATCGCACATTTTTGCTTGGAATTGGACGGTCAAGGACCTGGTGGAACAGGACTTTATCGACGCGTTCCACGCAGACACGAACCAGGACGATACTTCTGTTGGGCACGGACCGCTGTATTTCTGTCATATGGTGGCTTTGACCACCATCCTCTCGGACATCCTGGATCGATTTTACACCCTGCAGGCCATCGAAGATTTCAAGGCCTCCGGAGGAAACCGAACTCGCATGATCCTTGAACGAGCCAAGCCCGCGCAGATTCGCCTGAAAGAATGGTTTGGACGTCTGCCCCCCCAGCTCAAGATGGATACGAGCGGTGACTTATTCGACACCATTACGGAAGAAAATGCCCGCAACGGAGCTCTGCACCTGTCCTACTTTGCGACCGAAATCACCCTGCACCGATGCATCATTCGATCCCTGTCTCCCGAAACCGCTGATGCCTACCTGTCCCACATTTGCCGCTCCGCTGCCAAAACGCGTCTCATCTCCGCCATGGACTTTGTCAACCGACTGCGCCCTGCCCATCTCCGATCCTTCTGGCCCTCCGCGTCGCGCCACAACTTCACTCTCATCGGCTCGTTTGGCATCCTACTGCGCGTGACTGCCCCTACAAAAGAGGAATCCGAGTTCTACCGTCTCCGACTCTGCGAGTACCGCTGGACGTTGAGCGTCAGTAGGAAGAACGCAGAGTTCCTGGACTTCTCCCTCGACAGTCTAGACAACGCCACCAACCTCGACCGATACGTCCCTGACAAACCCGCCATCGACGAATTGATGCACAGCGCCGTCAAGCCAACCATCACCTCTCGTCCGGTCCCTATCATCGCGCTCGACGACCCCGACCCGATGCTCGAAGCCGGAGGCACTTCGTCCGTGATATCCGGGCTAGCCTCACCAGCGACATCGGTCAGTGACGAGAGTTTACGAGATACCCCAATTCCGCCATTATAAAGGGAGGCTCCTATTTTACCTCCCTGATTGTTGTCTGCGGTTTACGAATTTCCTTACATCCACGCCTACTTATGACTCGCATATAATATGGTCCGTCCGATGTTTATTTATAGGACCTGACCTTTTCTGACTGTTCTCGATGATACGCAAACGCAAAATGATGATTCCCGCATGATTATGTACATACTACTGCTGTTTTGGTGTTGGCTTGGACATAGATTGCATTGATTGATTGATTGATTGACTGGTTGGACTGGAGCAAGGAGCAAGGATAGAAATTCATCTTTATATACAAATTTGAGGGTTTACTCGTTTTTTAGTAGCGTACTCTACCAATCGGCCAATCTACCCTCGCGAGTAGCACCGAGAATCCGTATACAACCTCCCCCCCTGCTCTAATATTCCAATGAAAAGTACTCTCCTACCTTCATAATCAAGAAAAGTTGTTCTCACCTTTATCAAAGTCATAAAATCTACTGTACATAAGCCCGAATTGCTCAAGTTCAGCGGTGCTACGGTACGCGACGATCCGTCGGCAAGCAAATAAAAGTGTGGGGAACAAATAACTGGGAATCGCTTTCGACGCGCTTCTCTTCACGCCAACCAGCGCCGTACCTCAAAATGCCAATTAACACATCTATTCTAGAAACCATCAACATGAATATAATTCAAATTTCCACATAAAGTTATTAAATCTTTCAGCGAAGGCAAAATGGACGCTGACCCCCCGCGAACCCGCGCCATCCGTCGCCGTCCGCCGCGGGCTTCTCGGGCGTGCGAGACTTGTCGGGTTCGGAAGACGAAGGTGTGTATTCTTTTTTCTACCAAATTAGCAACAAAGAGAGTCATTCGGAAAGGATGTAATTAATCAATTGTTTAGTGCGACCAAGCTCAACCATGCTCTTATTGTGCTTGTATGTCTTTCCCAACACCATCATAATGGTGCATATCCGAAATGTATGCTTATGCTTATGATTATTCCAGACCATTGTCTCGATTGTATCTATAGAAATGGTGCAAATCAGGACACGTCAACACCGGAAAAAAGACAGAGCCGTATCAGGCAGATTCAGCAGTTTGTACCCCGACCTCTCACAGTCTGGTCCCATACTAAACTGATACAGAGGCAGGAGCAGTGAAAGTCGACCGTCGCCATGGCCGGAAGCAAATCAGAATACTAAACCCCAAGAAAGAGAAAGACAGTCACGGTCTCCGGACACGTTTCTTGGAGATTCACGCTCGCCGCGGATATCCCGTGGAGGTGAGAGTGGGAGTGGATTGCAACGAAATGCACCTACGCCAATAACGCATGGGACTGACCGCAATGAGGATTGTATAGCCGGTTAGTTTCCGCTCCATGTATAACAGACTGCGGCTCTAATAATGAATTGCGACAGATACGCCGCTATGCGACTCTGCATCGAGAGATGGTTTGAGCGGGATAAATATGCATACGAACGGGACTGAGTTTTACGGGAATTCGTCGAATTTGGCGTTTCTGGGTAATTTGTATGCGCGCGCGCGAAGGCATGCAGGAAGAAGAACACCAAATGTCTCCGGAGACAGGTATTCAAATGGTGATTTCCAGTCAACGACTGGTCCATCGCAGCCATACACAGAGAATACACATAAGGACAGTACGAAAACTACGGATAGAACACAGCTATCGATTGTCAACTTGCTGTACAACCCGAGCTATCCAAGCCATTCACCTTCACAGTCACCATGGGAATCCGAGAAAGACAGAGATAAGACCGTCCAAACGGATAACCCAGAAACACCATCAAACAACATAATCCTAGGTAGGTCAATACCCAATAACCAAAAAAAAAAAAAAAAAAAAAAAAAAAACCCAACTAACACCAAAAAGGCAGCGGAATAGCCCCCGTTAACCAACTACCTGCCGAATCCCAACTCGAAATCGAGAAGATATTCATCAGCAGCTACTTCTCTAACAAACACCACATCCACCCAATGCTCTGCAAACAGTCATTCCTCCGCCGCTGCGAACACGAAGCATTCAACATCCCCAGACGGCATTCGTTTGCTCGTGGATCTTCGAAATTCGCGGGCTTATACTTTGCCGTTGTCGCGTTGGGCGCCATCAATGCTAGTCCTGACGAGACGTCGCTGTTGGATCATTACTGCACGTACACGCCTGATCCGAGAAAGCCAGGCGCAGGTGGTTGCTCGGCGTTGGATTTTGCGAATTACTATTTTGGGGCTGCGAAGAGGGCTTTGGGGGATGTGTTTGAGAGTTGTTCTTTGGAGAGTGCGCAGGCGCTTATGCTTTTGGTATGTTTCTGTTTTTCAACTTTGATCTTGGTCTGTAGGTGTGTGCTAACGATGACAGAACGTGTTTTGTCAGAATGCGTTGCGGCCTCATAGCTGCTTTATGTATAGTGGGATGGCTGTTAGGACGGCGGTGGCTATTGGGTTGGCTTCTGGGATGTCGGCTTTGCCGGCTAATATGCGGAAAGAGGGGAAACGAACGTGGTGGTATGTCCTAATGAGTACAGTGATCAGTGCAATAAGCTAACCATACACAGGTGTATATATTCCCATGAAGTGTACGTCCCTATCATATGAACCAATCAGAGCAATCTGACCAAAACAGAGAAATGTGCTGCTCCTCCGGCCGCCTAGACAGTATGAAAGACCTCGACTACTACCAAGTCCCTCTTCCAACACTAAAGGTACCTTTCCTTGCACCCAATCCCCCCCCCTAATACCCCAATTAACATCACCTCTAACAAACCAAAGACAACACCAGGTCACTCCCAAGACCCCGACGCAGAAGACAACGACGTCTCCATGATCCCTGTAATGGTAGCACTAGCGCAGATCATGACCGAAGCATCACACCACTTGTACCACTCGAATAAACGCAGTATGCATGAGAGATCGCGTATCGCGATGGATCTTGACACCAGATTGTTGAGGTGGAAGGATGATTTGCCAGGGTTTTTGGATGTTGATGCGGCGTCGTTGAATGATCCGGAGTGGGCTTTTAAGCAGAAGTTGGTTTTGAGGTTGAGTGAGTGTTTTTGCGGTTAATTGATTGATTGCGCGGAAGGGTTGCTGATGGAATGGGACAGGGTTTTATAATACGCGGATTCTTATACATCGGCCGTTTTTGGTAGCGTCGACGTCGACATCAACGTCGACATCTACAGAACAAATCCCCTACCTCAACCACATCCACATCTGCCTCACAGCCGCCAGATCAAGCATTCAAATGCAATATGAATCCTTTCTCCATCGAATCTACATCCGAACTTGGTACCCCTCCTTTCCCTTCCCATCACCCAACCCACATCAACAATACTGATAAAACAAAGGTGGTACAACACAACCTACGCCCTCTACAGCTCCATGATCCTCCTGCACCTGATTCTAGCAGGCGTCCCGGACATCCCAGAGGAAGAATTGTTGAAAGACGTCGAGAAGTCGTTGGATATATTCGAGTCAATGGGGGGTGTTGTTGTGGCGAGACGCTGCGCGGAGATGATAAGGGAGGTGTTGGATGTTACAAGAGAGTGTCTGAGGAGGAGGGGGCCATCAATGGCCAGGCCGCAGTCTCAACAGCAGCTGCAGATGCAGATGCAGCCAACATCGCCATCTTCGATTCTGGGAGCTGGGACTGGGCCACCTACAGCGATGGCGAATGAGTCCCCAGCACTACAGCATCTACATTACACCAACACCAACACCCTAGACAACAATTACAACTTTCACTCGCATCCGCAGACTTCAATTACGGATTTATCACCCACGTCCCTCGACGAGAACTTCTTTTTCTCGTTATTTGGACAGGAATTCCAGCCTGATACTAGGGCGGAGATTCTCGCGAATCTCGTTGATCCGATGATTCTGGGGGATTTTGCGTTTGGGGGTGGGATGGAGTAGATGTATTTGCGGTGTTTTTTTGTGGATGTAATTAGGTTGTTTGATAGATACTACACATTGGGGTTAGGATGTCGGTTTCTATTTATATTAAACCCAATTGATGCTAGAGTAGTATTATGCAATCGTCTATATCGCGTAACGCAAGCCCATCAGGAATGGTCTTTAGGAGTCACACATCCGGAGACCGGGTCGTTTCTTTGTCACTCTCAATTGTAACTTGTCCATCTCTTTGTGCGCTTCGTGGATTCGGTCACCGGAAATTTCCTTCCTGGTCAATTCAATGTCCTCCGGATTAAAGTTATTGAAATCGGGATCGGGGTCAGGGAAGAGTGCCTGACGTAGGATTCGTGCTTGTCTTAGGCCCAGGTCCACGCTAGATCAGACTTACATAGAATTCGACATGGGCTTCGTCACGGAACACTTCCACAGTCGTTTTCAATCATTTTTTCGTCTTTGATCATTTAGTTTAAACAGGTTCACCACATTGACATCTGGATGCCGACCATCCATTTTTCCTTGTCCTCTAATGATTTTTGAACGGGCCTCACGGTGAACCCAGGTATTTCTGTCCACGATCGCTTTGGTGGACAGGAATAGGTATTAAGTGTCTGTGTTAGAGGCTCTGTCGATGACCCTGAGGATCGTCGGAAGTTTCGTGTTTGTATCACAATGAACTAGCGGTTGGTCTCCTGCTCAAGTCTAGCATTGGGATAAAGACAACTTCTAGAGGATATCGTTTTGATATCAGCGTATCTGACGATTATGAGGAACAGATGCCCCAAGAGCCCATGTATTCGTGTACGATTGTATCTGCCGGGATTGAAGGTGCTCAACATCTCCGCCTCTGGCCATAAGGAATGCGCGGGGGGTTCCCCGAAAGGACAACCCCGTTCAGTTGATTTGGCATTTGATTTTGGGGTACTAATGGGCGACGGATGTGATGTAGACAAGAGCATTAGTGAAAGCTAGACGTCGGGTCTTTGTCATTCGCATAAACTCTTCTCAGCTCAATGTTCGCCTGTACCCCTGGTAGACGGGTCTGAAGAAAGATCCAGAGCGTGATGTGCGGCTCGGGAGCTATCTTTTCCAGTTTATTTGCCGTAGCCCTTATCTTTTCTTTAGCTTTTTCTGATAGTGGAAATCCACGTCTTAGATTCTGTGGTGGCTTGCGGATCTATGAGCGGCTTGTGTTCGTGGAAGTTCTGGTTGCGAGGTAGAACTTGATCCCATCTGACTCTTGTCTTCTTCAAGAGGCTCTGCGCTTTGAGAGCCACGGGAATCTGGTCAATATCAATTGTTCTGACTGTTACAATCACGTCCATTTCGCTAGATATTTGATGCGTGGTAGACCGTTATCCAGAACCAAAGACGGACATTCCTACAGTCCGTATAAATAGCCAAACTCTTATCGTAAGAGTTGGCCATTCACCAAATCGGCCTTGAGGGCAGGTGCAGCACGGACATGTATACCTGCTTGTGATCGGTGACTTGACTTGGGTTGAGCCAAATCGTGGAACGAAGCTGTCTTTCGGGTAAAGTGGGATATAGCTGACCCAATAGAGCTCCGTACGATAATAGGAGGTAAGATGAACCGTCGAGGCCCTATGTTGACTACTATTTCATGCTGGGAAAAACACCCCCCGGTTTATAATTGATGTTTGGGAGCCAGTGCCCAACATCCGGTTATCTTTTCCAAAGGATTCTCAAAGTAGCTTTATAGCTTTGGTATAAAACATCCCTTGTTCCACGCCTTATGCATACTGTCGGCGAGGAAAACGAGACGCCCTCAAGTAGGGCTTTTGGAGCCACAAAATAATACTGCCTTGACTAGATCCTCGATGGTAAACATGCGCATCGTAATATTCGGGTGACGAAAGGCCTTGGTCCTTGCCAATTGCACAATAGTCACTTTTTGTGCCTCTTTGTTATTGCTCACTTTAACGAGTAATGAGAATCGCGGGCCGATGCCGTATAGAATTCCTGAACGGGATCGATGGATCCCAAGAATGATAGCCACTATCCAGACTGTTTACAGGTAAAGTAACTTGCGATGTCTTTTTCATCCAATCCTTTATACCCTTCACGCTCACAAGGCGCGCGTGATCCATCGGTTTCCGGATGAGCTTTGTGATGATTGCAGACGACGCAAGGTGGCAGTGGACCAACCAGGAGGTTGATAGCCGAGAAACAGAAGACAGATAGGGTAGAAGTGACGATCTGTTAATGTGCAGGTACCTGGTAGGAAAATGTGGAGAGGAGTGCCTCAAACCGCAATTTGAGCAGCATTGCTGAAAGGACACAAACAAGCCTGTGTGTAGTGCGACGTATTGTGATTCTCAACTGTAAAAGCCGCCCCAACTTATAGCCATGGCCAAATAAGGGACTGGTTTCTTAGAGTCTTGTTGGTTTTAGTGACAGTAATACGCGCCCGATGGTGTCGTATCAGTCGTGGGAAGCGGTGTGATGGTGAACACCAGATATACCGTGCTCCTTGTCTTACCCTTGTTAAAACTCGAAAATGCTGTTGAATGCAGTCTAATAAGACACACTGACCCGTGATCATCTTTGTTTGTGACGTGTGATGTGTATGTCTCCATGCCGGTTTTCGTCTTGTATCATTTTTCTATGATATATCGATGACGGGATAATGTAAATAAAATCACCGGAAATGCCGCTCGCTTATTAAAGCCTCGCATTCGTTAGCTCGTCTCAATGCAAATACGTTGGCTGAAGTATATATGCATACCTTCACTTCGTCTCATCCTCGTGTGTCAGTAGAACCGAAACCAAAACGAGGGTTCCAGCGTTTTATATCGAGTGTTTGCAAGAGTGGCTGTAAAGCAAAAAATAACTCTCTTCGACCAAGACAGATTGCTCGCTTTCATTATAGGTGTTCTCATTTCGATATTGATACATGCGAAGCCCCCGGAGAAATTGTATTCAATCCTACTTATCAAGATCAGCCATAGGGCTTACACGTGATGCCAAGACCTCGCCTAGATCCGATCTATTTCTATTAATAGCCATGCCACCCGACCGACAACCAACGTCCCTCTACTAAATACATACATTCAATCAACGACAACATGGCCCCCCACGAAGGATTAGTTCACCCAAAGGAGCACGATATCAAAGACAGCAATGTGGAGCTGATCGGAACCGACATTGACCACCGTGTCAAGTACAACTCGGCCACCAGCGAGCCCGCCTGGAACAACGGCAAGATCGGACAAGAACCCGGGCTCTTCATCTGGCGGATCGAGAACTTCGAAGTCGTGCCATGGCCCAAGGAGCGCACGGGTGAGTTCTACGAGGGCGACAGCTACATTGTGCTGCACACGTACAAGGTCGGCGACGAGCTAGGCCACGACATTTTCTTCTGGCTGGGGAACAAAACCACCCAGGATGAGGCTGGCACTGCCGCTTACAAGACGGTCGAGCTGGATGAGTTTTTGCATGGTGCCGCGACTCAGCATCGGGAGGTCCAGCGGCACCCGTCGGAGGAATTTGTGTCGCTGTTCCGTCGCATCTCGATCAAGTCCGGAGGCGTGGCTTCGGGATTCCGTCATGTCGAGGAAGAGGAACCCAAGGAGGTGCTTACGTTGCTTCGCATCTTCAAGCATCCTGGTGCTGGTCGCATTGACTCTATTATCGTTCATGAGGTGGAGCCGACCTGGCAGAGCCTCGACGACGGTGATGTCTTTGTCTTGGACAAGGGCGATAAGATCTGGGTCTGGCAAGGCAAAAGCTGCAGCCCGATGGAAAAGGCCAAGGCAGCTCAGGTCGTCAATGATTTTATCCAAGCCAAACATGTGAACGTTGAAGTCATTTCGCAACTCGAACCGAGATCGAAAATCATCGTGGACCTGCTAGGGGGAAAGGAGGTGAATAAATTATCGTTCCAGGCGCCACGACCTGTGTCCTTCCCCAAGAGAAAGGGCGATGACAACATTGATGCTCGCCCGCGAAAACTATTCCGGTTCAGCGATTCTTCTGGAGCATTATCCTTTGATATTGTTAAGGATGGAGGACAAATTCACCAATCCGATTTCGACGGAAACGATGTCTTCCTTTATGATTCCGGTAACAGACTCTGGGTCTGGCAAGGCTTGGGAGCTAGTGCGAGGGAGAAGGCTTTGTGGATCAAGGTTGCCCAGGCTTACCTCCGTCAGCTTCAAGAAAACCAGGAAAGCTCGGAGGCCTACCTTATTCCCATTGCAAAGGTTGTACAAGGTCACGAAAGCCCGGCGTTCGTGAAAGCGCTGGCAGCTTAGGTTTGACGAGAGAGATGATCATATGATCATAAAATGATATACGGAACAGTATGCAAGACTATTATAGAACGAAATTCGTTTTTTGTATCTAGTCTGATTATTTGTGTCCAATAGCTTTTGTTCAAACCTACAAACCTAGTTCTCAACTCAGCCCTCATCCAACGTTTAGGCATGCATACTTGATTGGCGTATGAGTGTAACACACATATGCACCGAAGGACATTAAATAAAATGTGAGTCCCGACAGTACAGATCATGCCTTTACTACACCTTCAAATCCACACCAGAGCTATCTTCATCCCCCGGTTTTCTCCTTCGGTGCAGCAAAAATCTTCTCATGTTTACTCATGACCCAGTCTAACACACTTGAGTTAACTCAACGGGTAATTTAGCTACAGGAGATATGACGTCCAAATTACCGAACACCATTTTCAATCAGGGTTGTTTTAGCCAACAGTTGTTTTAAGGCTGAAGCTGCTATATTATGATTAGCACCGAAGAGCTAGTAAATGGAATTGAAAAGGCTAGCCGCTAGCATAGATTCCACAAGGCAAGTAGCAAAGATTTAGAAGTTTCTTTCTTTTTATGCGTTCCTTTAAGAAGGCTTAGGAGGGTCGATGACTTGCAATGCTAGGTCAGATGCCGATTGTTTAGATTGTTTCTATTGATGGTAACTGCTACTTAATTTCTGGATCCTCAACCCGAGCCCAAACATAATAGACGTCAGATTGAGCCCCTGGAAGAAAAAAGAAAAAGGATTGTCTTTATTTGTGACAAGTCCACAAGGATCCGAGCTGAGAGGTGATACATAATCAGGAGTTTGCTATGCAAGCAAACTGATGTTCTATCACTCTGAGCAAGTTCTTTCATCCCATTTACTGGAGCATATGACAATAATGATAAGAATAATAGCCTTGAAGAGAACTTAAGTACTGCATAATGTCATTTCAAGCCTAGCCTGATGAGCTTGATGAGCTAGATGGACTAGATGGACTAGATGAACGTGATGAACGTGATGAACGAGATGAACGAGATAGGAAAACAGCTGCTTTATCTTGTGCGTCCTGAAACCCAGACCTCAATAACTGACGTGGACCCTCCAGTGAACCTGACCGAACCAGCAACATATCAAATGCCTCATCCTTAGGACTATAAAACCATTGATCAAAACGACAACACAATTCATCAGCCAGCTCCGTCATTTTTTCAACAAGCCGTTTAATGACATTCTCTGTCACCACCGCATCTGGTTTTCTTACCATCCCAACCGTACATATTATATATCCCTACACTTTCAAGTCAACTTCTTCAAGAGCCGGTCTTTTCCTTCGGTGAAACAAAAAACTTTTCATGTCCACCCATGATTCGGTCTAAAAGCATATTCAGTAAGTTATTTGTCATGGAAGTAGACAGGTAGGATTAGCTACTTACTGAAATAAACTTCAGCATCACCCAGAGCGCCACAGTCAGAAGAAGGGATGAAGCCCCGATTATCAGATACCATTTCCAGTCCGGGTTGTTCTCGAGTATATTGACGTTCATGCCGAAAAGGCTCTTTGTACAGTCAGTCTAGCCGATATGTTTAGTATCGAGGTCTCATGCGGATGAGAACTCACGGATGCAAACATCAGGGGAAGAAAAATAAACTGGAATATGTGTAGTTAGTTCTAGCTTGAATTGTAACATAGAGCATATCCTACTCACAGTAACCCAGCTAATGCGTTTTAAACTTGTTGCTTCACTAACTGAGACCCAGGCAAATTCCTAGATAGAAGGGACACGTTAGTACACAGGCATAAACTGGAAACGGGTACGTGTATATTCCGAATACAATTTGCAGGATTTCCTTTGCGGCTTGTTCCAGGCTATCCAGTCTTGCTTTCACGGACTCGTTTAGATTGTTGATGGTTTCTATTAGGTGTTTCTCATCATAAGACCCAATAATAAAGTTATCCTTGACTGCTTTTCTCAACCCTACAACATGTTGCTGCAGGTATCTTCGGAATTTTGCTCGTGTCAATGAGTTTTGCGCAAGGGCGTGGATTATTTTTCTGCTTCGTCCCTGCTTTTCAAGTTGTTTTTGTCGCTGTTTACGACAGTCAGTCCCGTTTCAGGTTCAAGAAATGGAATACATGACAACTTACGATACCCTCAATGTCCTTATTTGCATCAGAGCAGACATCCTCCCACTTTTGGTGCACGTGCTCTAGAAACTGGTTGCAAAACTCTTTCCAGCTTACAGGAAAAGTACTGGCTGGGATCGTAGTGACAAATCCGGACCCTTTACCTTTCGCTGCACTCCATTCAATACCCTGAAAGTTATTCTCTTCATCTGGGAAGGAAACCGACATGTGAGACTCGATCCATTCGGCCGAACCATCTCTGGATTTAAGACAGGCGTAGTGGATGTAATCATAGTTCTGTTGCGGGAATTCCTTCCGCTGTCTGAGTCGTGACCATTCCCTATCTCCTTCCTTGTGAAAACTTATAGCTGGTCAGAACCTTTAAGCCTCAGCATGGTATTGAAGGATGGCTCACCACAGTATATTTTCCCCGGCACTTGGCAACCAGTCGTGCTTATTTGGGGATTGGCCTATGAGTTTGAACCCCGAGGACCTGAGTTTCTGCGTAAATCGAATATAGCGTAGGCCTGGGCCTCCCAGATCAAACCACATTTTGGGCTGGGATAGATTGATATTTGCACCACATCGCACCAGGTGCTGAAGGCTATGTACCATTTCGTTTTCCAACGCATAGAGCAGGGGAGTCTTGCCACGGTTGTCTTCGACATTCAGTGCTGATGCGCTTAGGTTTTGTATTAGCTCCATTGCGAGGCTCTCCTTTTTCCGGTCAATTGCATAATGCAGCGGAGTTCTTCCTTCGAGAAGGTCGGTCGTGTTGGCTGCGTAGCGGGTTTGAAGCAGTTTCTTTAGTAGCTCCAGGGCTCTGGCCTCGCCTATCAGGTCGCTCTTTTGAATTAGGAGATGCAAAGTGGTCTTGTCCTTTTGTTGGTCGTGGTGTATCTCGCTAGAGCTCGAAAAGGTTGGTCGGGGTATGAACAGTGAGATTATATGGTCGTTGCTGCTTTCCAATGCTCGTAGTAACGGGGTTTTACTGAAAGAATCCAAAGGGCTTTGGTCAGGAATTTCTGGATCCACGCCTTCCTTGAGAAGTGCTTCGACCATGTTTGCATCCTGGAACTCCACGGCCCATGATAGCAAGGTACGATCGTCCTTATCCCAACGGACTAAATATCCGCCTGCCTTTCTGATCAATGAAAAAACACGATCTTTGAATGCGGGACCTTTCCCAGTCTGCGATCGTCTTCGGGCCTCTAGAAGTCGCCAGAAACATGTGCAACCATCCAGGTCTCGTTTGGTAGTGTCGGCTTCTTGATCAATAAGAAGCTCCATGAGATAATAGATCTCGCCCTTCGCCGCCAGAATCAATGGTGTTTGGCCGCTGCTATCTTGGCAACACACATCAATCTCCTCGTTGAACAGTAATTCTTTCACTGTTTTTCTCTGTGCATCCTGCCCACTCAAGGTTTGTGTTGTGTCGGTAAAAATATGGGCTATCGCCCATATCAATGGAGTGCGCTTCTCATAGTCTTCAGAGTTGATATCTGCGCCATTTACCAACAGACAAGCAATCACGTCAACATTGGCCGATGCTAGCCTCGGAAATATTCTTCGTGGTCCTATGATCCGGCCATATACCAGTCCAGGCGTTACTGCCCATGACAATGGAGTGCGGCCACCTATGTCTTTCCAGTTAGGATCGGCTCCGTAGTCCAGCAAGAGCTTCGTGTATTGGATGCTTTGAAGTTCGGCGGCGTATGAAAGCGCCGTCCGGCCGCGATGATCTCGCAATTCAATGTCTTCTAGGGACATGGATTCCAGTAATACCTGCAGCGCTTCAAAGCATGCATGACCCGGTGTTCGCGCTATACGTAGCAAGGGGGAAAGACTAGGGTCTTTCAGGCGCTTGATCAGAGCATCATTTCTTAGGTACTTGTCCATCCGCTGTCTGAAGTATTCCTTCCGCTCGGCGGGTTTGCTAAATCGAGAAGGGTCATCCTGCAATGGTTGAGGTATTTTGAGGAAATCGTTGAAGAATTCCTCCAGTTCTTGCTCCAGGGGTGTAGGTACGGCCATATGGATATGATTTGAGCCTCACACATGGAGGCCAATGGGATTCAATTCTCAGCAGCGATCTTTGAATACCCGATCGAAACTCCGGGGAGAGAGAAAATTGTCACCACTCCAGAGTTTATAGCTTTAAGCGATGAGGGCAGTACTTGTTGAAGTGGCCAAACGTGTCAATATTTTCAGCACTTTTGATAGACCGATTGGTCAATAATGGTGGGGCTGCATGGACACCAGCACTTAGCGCGTTTCGGCGCTGATCCTCATGCTCACATTCTGGAATATCTTGTATATCGAGAATGCGGCATCTGGTCATTCCACTACCTCTTATCCATGCTCCATAGTCATGCTAATCCATTTCTACTGAACCTATCAACTACGAAAGTCCCAATGAGAGCAATCAATAACCATCTACACAGTCCCAAGAACAGGATTTTCGCAACGCGCGTGCACTTCCATTTATTCTACCTAAAGTAGTTACAAACAAACATGAAAATATTTAACAACAAATCAAAAGTAAATGACTGAACAAGTTCAGAACAATCCGGATAGCTCTTCACTCGGTGTACTCACTCATCCCCATGTTTCTGTCTTCTGGACAGCAATCTAGAACCCATCTAGACGTAGCTAACAGTGACCGAATCATCAGACGCAGAGGCCTCAGTCAGAACCTGGTCATTCTGCCGAATATCCATGATGGTAGCACCAGAGGGACCAACAGTCCTGCCGTTGCTGGTGGCCTCGGCATTAGTGAAAGTAACCGTTCCGAAATCAGCGAAAGAAACAAGAGAGCCATTGGATTCGAAATCCTCGACAATCCATTCAGCATTGGTCTCACAGAGGTCGCCCTGGGTGCTTCCGGTAAATTTATGGGTGACGGACTGGCCATTGGTGAGGTTCTCGACGGTGGCAGTTCCAGTACTCTCGGTGGAGGCCTCAACAGTGATCTTGATGGAGTCACCCTCGGAGATGGAGATACCGCTGAAGTCATAGGCATAGTCGGGGTACCATTCGTACCAGGCGCTGTAGGAGGCCTGGCCGCCCTGGTAGCAGAAGTCGACACCGGTCTGGAGAATGGCAGTCTCGCAGGTGTCGCCGTCAATGCCGACCCAGGCAGAGGCGCAGGACTCCTCCCCGGAGCCGGAGCCACCGGCGCCACTTGGCGCAGAGACACTGGGGACGGTGAACTCGCCGGAGACGGTGGTGTAGCCGGAGCCGATCAGAACGGCACCGGCCCAGTTGGAGCTGTACTGGGCCTGGGTGGTGTTGGTGAGCTTGAGGACCTCCTTGGTGGTGCCGGGGACGAGGGGAGGGTTGCTGTGACGCTGCTTGTTGGCGCGACGAGCTTCGTGGCGAGCTTGACGCTTCTCGGTGAGAGGAGCAGCCAGAGCAGCGCTGGCAAGGAGAGAGCCGGCGAGGACGGAAGCAAACTTCATTTTGGCTGGCTGAGAATCTTTAAGAAGGCGAAGAGATACTGTTGACAAAGTCCGTTGAAGAGTGGAAGAATCAGATGATGCTTGAGAGTGTCCGATGCTGGATGGTAGAAGAGTGAGGTATATAGAGGAATCGTGGCCCTATTTATACATGAAGCTCTACGACTGATTCTGGACTCGACTCAATCCGGAGTCCATGGCCTACACAATGTCCCATCTTCCTTGCTCTTCGGAGAACGTGTAATGCTCGGGCAGTGATACCATTTCCCTCTTAGTCCGATGGTGTTTAATCTCCAAGGCCGACATTCCGACTGTCTCGATAATGCAAAGTCGTTCGCCGTCCAAACACTAGCCCCAGAATGGAGGATCTTGCGAGTATCAGTGAGGTGCCAGCCGCCATCTCTAGAGATATCACGAAGAAGACCGAGTCTAACGCCCAGAGCAGAAGACAGAGGTCCGACGACTGGGTCTGCGCCAAGGCCAACGGCAAGACGTGCTTATCTCCCATAAATTTAAGGTATCCTCTTTTGGTCACCATGCTCCTACTCGGACATGTACCAGGCTTACTTAGGGCATGGTAAGACGTAGCGGCGACTAAGGAGGAACGGCCCGGATGGCGCAGGCACGAAAAGCTTCGGACAAGCCTTGTAAGTGAATGGTAAGTACCCAGAGAGTGCCTAGCGCGAGACCAGTAGATTGGTGAGTGCGGCAATGGTCTTCAATTGGCCTGGAGAGGAGGAAAATCTGAGACCGAGGCTGGAATGTAACCTTTGGCCTGTCGACTGATTAAGACTAATGGTTAGTTAACTAGTCTACTACTAATTTTACTTAGTATTTTTCTCCTCCTTGGCGGACCCTGACGGGCAAAAGAGATTAGATTATATTAATTCTGCAGGAAGATAATGCAGGTAATGATGAATGCACCAATCGGCGCTGGTGGACTCCGCTAACCGCTATGATTAACACCCACGCCAACGATCCTGCCAGTCTCCTACCTGATTAACAATCCGACCAACTCATAGCAGATATTAAGTGAGTAAGGGATTATCTGAGACAAATAAGTAGGAGGCAGCTGAAAGCCTGCCGAGTTCATTAAATGACCTTCCTATACAGGAGCTGCTCCGGACGGGGACCTCCGCTGTAGGGATCTCAAGTCGAAGTCTCCTGCATTCTTGATAGGTTGACTATCACCATGCTTCGCTAAAATAACGTGATATGAGAGGATTGATACTGTGATTGGTATGACTGTTGCATGTGTCAGGGAGCAGCCGAATCCCGATCACGATAATCCGTACTAGAGTTGATGCATCGGAGATCCAAGGTACGTCGACATGGACTAGATATACACAATACATGACAGATACACAACCATTCCCTTCAGACAATCAAGTTATTTTATTTTCAGCATCTCAATATTGACAAGTTATAATGGTCCAACCGTTAAAGAGCGTGGTGTGATATGACTGGGATAGGTTATACTGTCTGGCCAAGGCATAGATTAATTCATGATGCAACACAATATGCAAGAATGGTCTATGTCTCAGTTTCTGCCGAAGTCAATAATGTGCTAGCTATCTCGACAATCTGGTCTGCATCAGTCTCCGACGACAACCCTACACACTTTCACCAAATGGCGCCCACGGTATCAGCGCCCGTAACCCCCCCGGCCACGGCCTCCCGGCTGTGCCGTTCTCCCGTTGATGGCATCCGGCATACTTGTGGCGGAACTCCCCGATGCATGCCATTAACCCTGTAGAAGACCGAGAATGAAGCAGTGATGATATCGCGATACTCGCGTAAATTGATATCAGCAAAAGCGAAAGTCCTATCCCGTGGACTAAGTAGGCCAACACGGAGCTGGCCGGGCTTGACAGAAGTGCTTTTAGTCTGGTGAGGGCAGTCTTCTGAGATAAGACATCGGTGATATCTAGAATTATCTAGTAATGCTATGGGAGATTGTGGTCGAGGTTTTGGTGTATGTGTTTTGGAGGCATTGTACATTCGTCACCAGGGTAAGTCTCCCATGCAGACATAAAGCCTTTATTGACGAGAATGACTGCTTTGAGACCACCAAAGTGCGGAAGACCGGACAGTTGCAACGGCGATTTTGATAAATGGAAGCGTCGATGTATTCATCAAATGTGCTGGATCACGTCGAGCGGGAGCGTTGCGGCGCTGAGAACACCCAGACGGTTGCAATGACTCTACCACCACACTGGAGAGCTTCATGGGCAATTTCCTAGCCGAGGCCGAAAGAACAACCGATGGCGATGGTAGAGGTGAAGTCGTTGTAGTCCGATGTATGTTGGACGATCATCATGATCGGCGCTGTCTGGATCACGGATTTAGCCGCTAGGATTTAGTTGATCAACAGCTTCGCTCGTCTTTCATTCACCTGCTCATTTCTACGTATGCCGTGATGTTGTCTTTGGTTAATAGTTAATTATCTTACTATGGAACAAGCGTTTCTCTTACGACTCTGGCTGATACTGAAGCAAGCGGATGTTTTAATGTATCAATACGCGGCGAGCACTCAAATTAAAACATTAACTAAATTGATCACGAAGAACTAAGCTGAGTTCGTATCCTTATATATCTGCTTGTCGGAGTACGATTTTCTGCTCCTCAGGTCGGACCATCCCAAGGACCGCCGTAGTCCTTGGTCTGGTCCCCCAGATGGACCGATACTTGAATTGCTGTAACAGAAATCAGAATCGCAGAGTACCAGAGGATACCACGTTCAAAATCTGCAAACAACAATACAATAGTTTCCTTCCAACCGAAACCGCAGAAGAACACTCCTTCATATTAAATGACGACTATCAATTCCAAGAGAGACCAGAGCACCACGGTATGCGTCAATGCCCTCCGGATGCCAATTTAATGATGCTGGTGGCTGCTAGTTCGAAGTCTGTCTCAGTATGAAGATTCAGCCCTGACGTTTCAAGCTACGATGAGCCGGATTAGCACACTGCTCAGACTGCCCTCCAAGTCAAACATAGTGGCCTACCATCTTCAGCGCAGACTCGCTATTTGTCCCCTGCAACCTCACTACAACCGGAATTCGAAATCCGCCCATGGAAGATGCGGCCTGCAGAATCGACTTGGCGATCATATCACACCGAACAATACCTGTTTCGGTTCAACCTGCTATCCCAAGTTCCATAATCTGGTATACGTACCTCCGAAAATATTAATCCAGATCCCTTGAACACGCGAATCCCTCGCTAGGATCTCAAATGCTTTCAGCAGCGTGCTGGTCGTCGCCTTCCCCCCGATATCCAGAAAATTCGCACTTTTCCCACCATGAATATTGATCAAATCACTAGTTGCCATTGCTAGTCCAGCCCCATTCACAATATTTCCGATATTCCCACCCTGACGGATGTATACAAGGCCATTCTTAGAAGCATCATGCTCATTCTCTGAGTCTGGCGTTTGCTCCTCAAGCTCCCACAGATCTTCCTGTTTAAACTGCGCCGAATTATCGAAATCAAACTTCGCATCCAGACAGATAAACTTCCCTTCAGATGTTAAGGCAAGGGGATTTAACTCGAGCAGGATGGCATCCTTGGCGTTGAATAGCTCCACCATTTGCCGGATAATATGTTCGATGACTGGCATTTCGGTCCTGGAGAAGAGCAATCTTGAGCGGATATCTGCGATAATCTTGGGCATTATGCCCTCAGACAAGGAAAACCAGAATCGGTGCAGCTTGTCTGAGTTAGCCTCGACATTCACGCCACCCTCGTCTGAGATGAGGATCACGGGGCTGGATTTCTGGCGGTCAAAAGTGATCGAGAAATAGTATTCGTGGACAACGTCGACGGCTTTGTAGATGTAGAGCTTTTTGACGAGCAGACCGGCGGGCGGGGTCTGCTTGGTTTTGAGATAGTGGCCAAGCATGTTGGTCGCGTTGGTGAAGGCTTCATGTGGTCTGTTGTCTTGTTAGATGATGGGTGTATGTGTAATGCAGCGTCAAGGCCTACGTCGAGACCATGCGAACGCCGCCCTTGCCGTCAGTGTCGAATTTCCCTTTTCCGCGACCACCGGCAAGAATTTGTGATTTCAGCATTGAGGGTTTCCCTTGATCCAAGTTAGAGGATTTTGTGTCTGTTATGATCGCTTCTGCCATGAGAGATTCACCTATCTTTGTTACCACTGCTTTGGCGTCCAGCGGGTTGTCGACGACATATCCATCGGGCACTGGGATGTCATACTGACTTAGGTCAGTGCTAGGTCCAGTGAAATAAGTGTAAAAAAGAAAAAAAAAAAAAAAAAAGAAAAAACCATGTACCTGCTGGAGCAGTTTGTGGGAATGATGCTCAAGCAGCGTCAGATTTCGAAATTGCTGCCTCAAGGCCTTAGGGTTCTATGACCAGGTGAGAGAAGATTTTGAATTCCCGGCAGAGGTGCCATACATGCCTGGCTAAATGCTTCAAAGGGTGTAGGGACAACATGATGAGCATTTGCCTCTCTCCTTATGTCGATTATTTTCAGCCTGCCGATTGACTTGGTAGAAAAAGAATACTGCTCACTCAGCATTCATACACAAAAAGATGTCACTTTCGGGGCTTGTTTCTGTTTGAAATAATATGGTGGACTCTTTAAGAGGGAAAATTAGCAATATAAGTTATATTGTGAGCCTATGATTGCAGAATGACGCGTTTAGGTGCCTTCCCGCCCAAACACCAGCAAAACCCACGCTGATAATACTCGGGCCTATTTTGAGTACCAGTCCACCCATTGGTCAGTTGAGAGGCTTATAACAGACACGTTCCTCGTGGGCGTCAAGGAGCTCCTTCCTTTGGAACCTCTTTTCTTCTCGATCCGCCATTACAGCTTTCGTAGAAGAGTCGGGTCAGTGGAAGTAAGACTGAGAAATGCTCAAGATGGGGTGGGCAGAACAATGAAACTAGTGCAATAAAAGATGACTCCAAACGGGCGTTTGTTGTGGACATCAAGGGCAACATATGTGGTCTTCTATGGAGTACATCCAGTTAGCCAGCATCCAGTATCCAGCATTCATCTAGTGTCTCCAAGTTGGGAATATCCAACTGTCGGCTTATCTGTGTGGTTTCCCCGCATTCGCATTATCAAGGTTTTGTAGTTCTCAATCTGGCGCTGGCTCCTTGGGGTTATGTTGATTGGGGGGGGGTCACATGGGGCGCTGTCACTGCAAGTTACGGCCAATTGACATTGACTATATGTTCTCTACCTTCCTGTTCTCTATTGAAAATCTTATATAAAATTGGACAAAAGAAGGACACCTCCCCAAAATTTCAAAATGTACCGACTATATTCCAGATAATAAGCCCCTCCGAACCAAAGTCTGCGACTCCATTGAACCATGGGAGTAACCGCACGAGACATGGTCTCGGCCTATGAAGTCGCCACTTCGATGATATCAAGACGTTCCCAATATTCTTGTGGTAAACGTGTAGCTCAATTCATCAGCATTCTTTGGATGGCTATTGCCATGGTCTCACAGACAGTTGGCATGGTTTTCAGTGTGAGGCATGCATCTATGCCGGAGGAGGACAACTCCCATGAAACTAATAATGGCAATCTCGAATTCAACATTTATTTCCCCAACGTTTCATTTGCAAGGTTAGCCATTGTTGCCTGCTTTATCGGGGTCTCCTTGTACAACTCCATCGAACTCATTGTCCTGTGTTTCATCACGTTCAAAAAGTACAACAGCTGCTATTTCTGGTCCCTTCTCATCGCATCAATCAGCATCATTCTGTTTGCGTTGGGCTATCTCGTCACCATATTTCGCCTTGGGGTTACCTATGCGGGCATTACGGTAGAGATAGTAGGATGGTATGGTCTTGTGGTCGGCCAATCGATGGTCCTTTGGTCCCGACTTCATCTAATTGTCCATAATCAATGGATAATACACGGAACGCTAGCTATGGTCATTGTTTGTGCAATTATATTTCTTATCCCTGCCACCGTCTTCGAGTTTGGCGTCCATTCCAACGACAGCAATAGATTTGATACCGGATTCAATATCTTCGAACGGATACAGCTGGTGGGGCTTTCGGTGCAAGAGATTATATTGTCGGCCATATATTCCTGGGAGGCTACCCGACTATTGAAACTGCGACCGAGAGACCATTATCATGGCATTTTGGTCCAGCTTCTGGTTATCAACTTGACCATGGTTTGCATGGACGCTGCCATTATTGGTTCTCAGTTTGCTGGACACTTTATAATCCATGTCACTCTTAAAGCAATGGTCTACAGCATCAAGCTGAAAATGGAATACACTATTCTGGGAAGGTTAGTTCATATGTCTTCGACATAATGGCTACCATCCAAATCCGATGAATTCGGCACTCTATGGACATTTCTCGTGTGGGATAGCAAGATCACAACTGGGGAAGTTCAACGAATGCGATACAATATATCCCAAAAGATTTCAACCTTGTCACCAAACTGTGCATCCAGCGACGAATAATGACACCTTCTCATCTTGAATGTATCTTAAACTTCAAAGACTATCGATAATTGACAGGGACCTGCCCAATCATGGACCTCTCGTGCTGGTGGTCTGCATAATGAGGTGGCCTTGACCCCGTGGATACCGCTATATACACTTATGTACTGTTCGTCCTTGAGTATGAGGTTCGGAATGTGGTGAGTTGCCGTTAGACACGCTCCAGCATCACCACCCGACTCTGATAGTCGCCCTCAAATACAAACTGCAAACCCATGTTCATCAGTGTCTGCCCCGTGTACACACTCCCCCCACCCAGGCGATACTCCGCCTCCGCATCCAGTCCCTCCAGACGCACCCACGGCGACGAGTTATCAATGTTAGCCCGCATCTGATACGCGAAGAGCACGGCCCTGGTCCCATCGGCCGAGATGAAGAGTACAGCCGGCCAATTGGATTCCTCCGGCAGCGCGAGCCGCCACATGTCGCCCTCTAACACGATTGGGTTGGCCTTCTCGGCCAGTTGGATCAAACCAGGCAGCGCGGCCTTCTCATCCTCGTGCAACTCCTCCGGGTTGAGTTCGAGGCCGAACGACCCGCCCATCATGGCGACGTGGCCGCGGAACTCGACGGGCACGCTGCGCAAGGATTGCTGGTTGGGCACGGCTGAGATGTGCGCGCCCATCGCGCTGGGCGGGTAGGCCAGCGATGTCCCCATTTGGATGGCCACTCGCTCCGCTCCATCGGTATCATCTGAGGTCCAGATCTGCGGGAAATACTGCAGGACACCTGGGTCGAACCGGCCGCCGCCACTCGCGCATCCCTCCCACAGCACATCTGGGAACCGGCTCGTCAGCGTCTCAAAGACGTGGTACAGGCCCAGCATGTAGGCGTGGTCGGTGCTGGGAGACGGCGCCTCATACATGCCCCGATTGTGGTCCCACTTGACGTACGAGATATCCGCGCTCTTCAGCAGACGAGTCATGCTGTCGATTATAAACTCCTGCACCTCGGGCAGGGCCACATTCAGGACCAGCTGGCTGCGGCACAGAGTGCGCGGGTAATCTCCCGCATGCAACGCCCAGTCGGGGTGCTCATGGTACAGCGTCGAGTTGGGGTTGACCATCTCCGGCTCCACCCAGATCCCAAAGCGCAGCGGCGTCGAGGTGTTCGCTGCCTTGAGCGCCGTGACGTTGTTGACCAGCGACCCAAGACCGTCGGGGAACTTGGCCCGATTCACCTGCCAGTCACCCAGACCGGCCGTGTCGTCGTTGCGCGGGTACTCATTTCCGAACCAGCCGTCGTCCATGACGAGAAGCTTGATGCCGAGCGTGGCGGACTCCTCGGCCAGCTTGTAGATATTGCTGGCGTTGATGCTGGCGTCGAGTCCCTCCCAGCTGTTCAGGAGGGCCGGGCGGTCACTCGTCGCGAACTTGCTCTTGATCAGGTGCTTCCGGTACAGTCTGTGCAGGGACCGCGACATGCCACCGATGCCGGTGGCAGAATACACGGACACACATTCGGGGGAGGTCAGGGTCTCGCCTGGCCGGAGGGTCCATGACAGCTGAGACGGATTAAGGCCCAGCAACGCGCGCGTGAAGCCCTGCGATCCTTTCTCGACGTTCACGGCAAACGAGCCGGTGTAAACGAGAGAGAAGCCCCATGCTTCGCCGTGCGACTCGGTGGTGCTCGGGTGCACCAGGGACAAGAAGGGGTTGTGCAGGTGGGAGGAGAATCCTGTGCTGCTCCCGAAGCTGTTTCACTCTTAGTAAAATGATATTTATAATCTGTGAGGCTGAGAGTGAAAAACGTACCCCTGCACCCCATACTCAACCTTGCGTCTCTCACGATGTGCCTCGCGTGCCCAGTCACCGCGCAGGTAGATCATCTCCAGTTCTTCATAGGGAAGATCCACACTCAGACTAGACAAGGCCTCTATGGTGACGTTCCCCTCACCCAAGTTGGTAATGTTAACGCTGCGCACGATGGCGTCGGATTTGGGAAAGATGGAGTAGGACAGATCCGCCGCGACAGAGCTATAATTGTCATGCAAGTGCACCACCAGCGTCGTCACATCTTCCTCACTTCCAAATGTCGCGGGCAGTCCTGGCAGTCCAGGCTTCCCCTGTACGATCGTGTGCGACAGATACTGCAGGTCCGAGATGGTGTAGCCCGCCGACTGGCGGATTCGCACAGCAGGGATGCGGAAGTCGCCCCGTCCCTGGTCGGGGAACTCGCGACGGATGCGTCCGGGTGCGCCGACCCAACCGTTTACAATCGGCTCTGCAGCTGCGGGGATGGCACCCGTTACACTGCCACCGAAGTGGTCCGAGACGAGGTCTCCTGTGACGGGGTCGACGTGGAAGATGTAGGAGACATTGTCCCCGTTGAGGGCGAAGGACGTGCCATTGGCCACGACCGCTTGGTAGATTAGTCACTAGTTATGGAAGTCCCTCTAATGAACGCAGACATACCATTCCCATTGACAGACTCCGCCACGGCGACTTTCGATTGCGTCGCGAGACTAAGCACACTGGCAGCAGCGACAGCCGCCCTGTGTGAGAACCAGCGCATGGTGGTGGATGAGAGGGGATGATGGGTAGGAGTGGACTAGGAAACCCCAGGAATTGACGCACCTTTATATGTATGATAAATGGAAGCCAGCGGAATAGAGCGTAAAGAACTGGCACGAGAAATTCCCCATTGATCGAATAGCTCGTGGAGATGGAACCGGTCGCGGGGACTCCATACAATCCCCGCATCCGCAAATTGGACACGAGCCTGCAACAAGGGGACAGAGTGCGGGGCGGGCCGAATTCTTTGTCCGGTGTACGGAGTACATAGTTGGGATTGAGTTGGCCAAGGCCCTAGTCTGGCTAGCTTCTGGCATTCGGGGTCGGTTCAATAACGTTTGCCTGCTGCAAGGTAAAACGTCGGAGAAATATAGGGCAAATCCACTCCCTCGTGAACGTTACCCCATAATATATAGCATCGTCTGCGCACCAAGGACCGGCAAGATTGGGAATGATTCATATTGTAAGTGGCAGGAAGGTGGGCCATGCTGTCATAAAATGCTGACTGTCATGGAGCATGGATGCTTGCTAGTTGTATAGCATGTTTGGATAGGGCATGAACGACGTTTGAGACTAGCCCCGGAGCTGTTGCCGGACCCGCTTCCCGCCTGCGGTCGAATAGCCGTGATTGGTGGATCATCTATCTTGACTGGTATGATCCTGTTGGACATAGCTATCATGGGGGTTCGGGATATATGGGTTGGACTGGTTAGGAACAGTTCACAGATCATCAAGTGGCAGGCGAGGCAATGACAAAGCGTAGCCAGTCGAAGAAGAGCAGCGGCCAATCCGAATCAGAAAGAGGGCTTCTACGAAATGACGCTGCAGATAGGAGACGGTTTGGCATCGATGACGGGGGTATTCAATTTGGAATCTGCTTGCCCCCAGGTCCTTGACCTATGTATGGCACCTGGTGGCTTTACTGCGACAGCCAAAAAATATCTTCCAACATCACTTATCAATGCTGTTACGCTTCCTCCTCAAATCGGTGGCTATGAAGTTATGGCCAAAGAAATCTGCCAGCAAATTACCTATGCCGATATCACCATGTACTCAAGTGAAATGGATTTTGAGGAAGAGATTCCAGCTGGACATCCTGATTCCAAGAAATTTGAAATATGCCGGCCGTATCTTGGAAAGCAGTACGACCTAGTGATTTGTGGAGGCGCCGTGGGTAAAAGTCATCCGAGGGAGTGGTACCGCAACGACTGTGAGGGACCGCGTTTAACAGTTTCACAATTAGTCTTCGCAATGAACCGTCTCAAAAACGGGGGGTCACTAGTCTTGCTTCTTCACCGCGTCGAGAGCTGCTGGGACACGGTATGCATACTCCACGCTTTCAGTGAATTTTCTGATATACAACTTTACAAACATCCCAAGTTCCATGCTATTACATCGACATTCTACCTGGTGGCGAAAAACGTTGACTTGGAAAACGAGGCAGCGAGAGCATCGCTGTCCTATTGGAAATGCCTCTGGAAATACCTGACTTTTAAAGACTTTGGGAACATTTCACCACCTCGCTCGAGCCTTTATGAGTCTACTGATGCTTTTGTTCGAAAATTACGAGATGAATTCGGGCCTCGGTTTATCAAGATTGCCCAGCCAATATGGGAAATACAGGCCAAAACACTCCGGAGAGCACCCTTTACAAAACATCTGGAAGCTTCAAGACGGCATAATCATTGAATGATAAAATTGCCCATGCGTTCCGGAAAAACTCGAATGCCGTCGCAAGTAGAATATAATATTGCAAGTAATATAGAAACTTGAAGAAAAGAAGACAGAGTTGTGGTTTGTCAAGATTGCGACAAATTATGAATGTGATGAGGAGCACGAGGTCTCCAGCAGTAGCGGGACTAGTTTCTTTTCTTTCTTTCTTTCTTTCTTTCTTTTTTTTCTCTTGAAATAGGGTCAAGGAAAGATTCCATGTGAAGAAAAGGGTGAAATGGATTTCGATCTTCCCTGTACTATACGCAAAGAACATAATTATTCAAATAACAGGAGTATCTGTCATGTCAAAAAATTATTATTGCGCTACATTTGTTGTGGAAACCCCCTAGTTATCTAAGATTTCCACACGTTGCTTTACCCATTCAGTCATATTCCAAGCTGTGATGTCCGTGTTCCTTGCTGAATTGTATGTATATCATGTTACCGCCGCGGGCTTACGTCGTAACGATCTAGAATCCATTTAGCCAGTATATATATTCTTATATATGATATTATCACATTTATTAGCAATGAGCGTGTAACCTAAATGGCCTGACTCGTCATGTTACTGGGCGCGGTCCTCAACAATGAATTCGATAACGTAGTTTGGGGCAAAAACTATGGAATCCACTTCGCCTAAGCCGCTTCCTTTTCTCGGGAAAACGCCATATTTGCACACCACGAGCAGTTTCATTCACTCTTCCGAACATTGAAATTATGTGGACACTGTGCTAATACATCGCTGTACTAGGCTTCTACGAGGCATACTTTAGAATCCCTGAGCGCACTGCAGCTTGGGCAGCTCACTGACTCCTGGGCTTGCACCTTTTGAACACAGAGCCCTATCACAGCATGGCCCAGTTTGAGCTGATGGTAACACACTTGAGTGAAATTCCAATTGATTCGGTAGGTTCTATATATATACATTGGTGCTCTGGATACGCGCAATCAACGCGAGTCTGCTTTGTATCTGGGTCACAGGACTCGGTTTTAAATCTACCCGACAAGTGCATCTGAAAAAACTTCACAAAAGCAATGACCTGGCAGATTTAGGTACAACGTTCTAGACATACCCAACGGTAATCTTGTATCCCCCTCCATTGACCTGCGTCGTCTTAAAGTTGCCCTCCTCCTCACAACCACTGTACGCATGGGGCTCACTCAACTCCCCAACACCCAAACGGGAGGTATTAGTTCTAGGTGGCCAGAATGTCACATCCGCGCGTGGCACCTTCCCACATTCACCCTTCTCCTCCGCGTCCTCCACGTTGAACAGGAAATACTCGACAAAGCCTGCCTGAGAGGAACCGATTCCACCAGAGCCAACAGGGAGTGTATATGAGCCGATACGCGTTGCGTTGCCCAGGACCGCATCGATGAGGGTTCCAGTCCAGGTGGTTCCGTGCGTGTTCTTGATCACCAGGTTGTATGGGTGTGAATATGGCGCAGGGATTTCAACGGCACAGCTCACGCCAGGACCACCATCTGCACCATCGCTGCAGTTCTCTGTATCTGTGCTTTTGGTCCCTGCGACAAAGCTCGAAAACACAGCATGGACCATACTTCCGTTTGAACTGTCGGCCATAGGCTGTAGACCTGTGTATCCGACGCCATCGGCTCCGACGAAACCGTATTGCTGCGCGAAGTAGAGGCCGCCCTCGTGCTTGGCATTGGGCATGGCTATTGGGAAGGTGATGTCTTTTAGGCCCGAGGAGGAGACGTTGGCGATGCTCCAGCTGAGTCCGACATTGGCAGAGACTAGGGTCGGGAGGATTGCGATGAGAAATGGAGTGATTTTCATGATGAAGTTCGCTTTGCGGTTTCGCGTAAGACACTGGATAGAAGCTGATGGGACAAGTGAAGAGAGGATTGTAGTGCGATGATGGATAGATGTTCTTACGATACTTCAAGCCCTTTTATATTCTCTGGTGGCACCTCAATCGCATCTCGATCACTGACCTTCTCGTTACCGATGTTTCAAATCTTCAAACACGACCAGTTTGATGTATACAAGTTCTCGCATATCGAAGGACGGAAGAGGAGCATTCTGGCGAGGACTCAGATCTAGGGTAGAGTCCAAGAACATAGGAACAGCCAATCGGAATACAGCATAAACGAGCGATCCCCAGGAGTTCTGGAGACGTTTGCCGATCCTAATCACATACAATCGCATGACAGATCGATTTCTTCTCCCGTCGGTTCCGGCGACTAAGCGATGTTTCAGTTTTGCTTAAAGAGGAAATATGTGGATATAGCGACGGAGTAGTGCGATCGGGTCTACATCGAATTTCCTAAACGCATAATGCTTGCCGATCTTTTTCTCGGAATTCGCTCGGAATTCCGAACACCAGCTTCGAAGACTCTTTCCATTGCAGGGAGAATGAGAACGGTCTCGTATTAGGAACCGGCGCAGTAGCCCATCAGTTCAGATGTATGTCCTTTCTCACCAGATCCCGTCCCCAAATACGCCTCCAACCCATCGTATAAACTTGACCCCTATGGCGGTAGATGTTGTCAGCAAACGCTCGAAGAAAGTTCGTCGGACAAACATATTCATCTAGATAAATGAGTGCTCTCCACACTTCCCGCCTTTCCAGTGCCCCTTATAACTCATTCTTTACTTTTGCTGCATACGCCGTCGCTCTAGTTGCTGTCACTTTTCTCGCTATCGTGGTACTCGTTGTCTGTGGGTTCCGGCTGGCGGCGTACCGTATGAGAAGCGTGAGATAAATTATTATCTTGTCCCCTGTGTACTCTAAGTCATAATCGTCCATGACTACTACGATGTCAACCAAGCTTCAGAAGTGCTCAGCAAACAAACGCGAACATACCTATATAGATGATTAGTTGGGTGCGGCCCCCTTCGGCTCCGCCCCTGACCTTAGTCTCCACGCCTAGGAGGTCCGTTTCGACGTTTCCCTGGTCCTCATACCATAAGGACTGCCAATCAATCAAGCTATCATCCCTCTCTCCTTTATAGTTCTCCCGAATACTTGATTGGCATGCTCACTGGGCAATCGAGTTTCGAATACATGGAGCGTGTAGTATTAGCTGAACATGTCAGCAAAAAAGATTTGTGGGATTTCCTTTCACATTGTGTCTTTCATTAATTTCAGGAACAAAACTCTGACCTAGTGGCGCGGCGTGCGGTATGCTCTATCACTAAGGGCATTGTCAACAAAAGTTCAGAAAATGTCCAAGAGACAAACACAAACATACCCATGTACACAATCAGTCACTTTATTCGCTCCCCGACCCCACCCTAGCCTTGGCTTCCACGACAAGCAGGCTCATTTCTAGATTTCCCTGGTCTCCATACCATAGTAATCTACGGACGTATTGACGAGCCGAGCCCGACCACCGTACTGTATGGGCATTGTATCTTGCGCTTGAAAGGGTCAGGCTTCCACACTAGATACTGGAATCAATATACAGGAAATGTATGCAGCTCTGAGGGAGAGAAACAAAGTTGTTGTGGCTGGCTCCGCGCACACAGTTGGCCCAACGGGGGGCTACATTCAGGGTGGAGGGCATTCTTTCCTGGGGACGTGGAAGGGCATGGCATCGGACAATGCGCTGGAATTTTCCATTGTCACTGCGGCAGTAAGCAGCTTCTTTTGTTATTTTTCTTGCTACCTTTGGCAGATGAATGGCTGACTGGATATTCCAAGGGTGACCTGGTCGTCGTCAACGATCACCAAAACAGTGACCTTTTCTGGGCCCTGCGCGGCGGTGGTGGAGGGACATTTGGCGTCGTCATAAATGTAACCGTCCGCATATTTGACGATGCGCCTATGGTCCTCACAAATCTGAATATCACCACTACTGCCGGGAACCCGATTTTCTGGAAGGTCATGGAAGATTACCATGCTCTGTTGCCAGCCTTGAACGATGCCGGTGGCGCAGGGTACTACTTCATGGTGCCTGATGCACCACTGTCAACAAACACAAGCCTATCCACATTGACTGCCACACTGGCGTTTGCCAACACGACAGACACAGCTAAGATCGATCAACTCTATGCCCCGCTGCTCAAGGCGCTAAATGCGACCACCGGTGTCACTCTACAGTACCGTTGTGTTCCTTTCCCGAGCATTGTATCCTTCATCCTAAGCATTCTGATCACAGGCAATGCAGACGAAACTGGCACCATTAACATAATTGGCTCGCGACTCTTCTCCAGAGACCTTCTCATCTCTGACGATGGCCCAGAACGACTCATTTCCGCCTTCAGCTCACTCCAGTATTGACCCGGTCAGGCATTAATCGACCACGCTGTCGCCGGCGGTGCGGTTGCAGAGAATGCCCACGCGATTGATAGTGCCCTCAATCCAGCTTGGAGGGAGACACTGCTACATGTTGTCATTAGCAGGAATTGGTCTCCTAATGCCACGGTACAGGAACAGAAAGCCGTTCGGGAGAACTTGACCAATGTGGAGCTACCGATCCTGCAGAGCGTCGAAGGTTTAGGTACTATGGGTGCATATCTGAATGAGGCAGATGCCGACGAGCGGGGCTTTCAGGAATCATTCTGGGGGGCTAATTATCCACGCCTGTATGATATCAAACAGAAGTGGGACCCGTCGGGACTTTTTAATGCGAGAAAGACTGTGGGAAGTGAAGATTGGGATGAAGAGGGCTTGTGCCCGGTTCAGACATGATTTACATTCTTTTTTCTCTTTAATGTCTTCCTCACTTTCTTGTTTATTTCTTCATTTAAGTTGCTGGACTAAATAGGTATTGTTGATGATAAATGACTGAATGAGGGAGAAGGGAGGACGAGGAGTAAGGCGCGGCGTGTATTCGAGCAAGAGCAAGGATGCTGCTGAGCTCTGGACCTATTCTAGTGCAAAAAGAAGATATGGACTGCGTGATCACCATGCCCTACTAGACAAGGACAGATTTTCTGATACCAATCGAGACTGCATCACAAACGCCCCTTGATCGGCTTAGTCTCAGCATCTCTTGCATCCGGCACTGGAAGACGCGGTAGGGGGAGTCTCAAATCTCGTGCCACCTCTCTCGCTGCCCAAATACCGGTGACAAAAGCGAGCGCAAGACCGCCAGCATATCCCAAATTGCTGAAACCACCAGCATCGACGCCAGCAACAAGCAATCCCTGTATTATGGTCTTATCTGCAGCGAGGGCGTGGCCCTGCTTGTCAATATTTATTCCTCCATAGGTGAACGTAATCCTGTAAGTCATATCAGTATGCATGAGCACTGAACAACGCGAGCTTACATACGATGGCTGCACTTCTATGGCATAAAACGGACCATCGCCCTCCACCAAAGAGGCTGGAGGCAAACCGCCCCGGCCAACGGGGGCGTCAAGCCCTAGTCCATTCCCTCCTTTTTGGCGAACCACTCTATCGTATTCCTCAATCGTACGCTTGGCGTTTACGCAGTCCACGCCCCATTGTGCCAGAATTTCGATGAGTTCACCAAGTGTAGACGCGGCTCCAACATTGCATCCATGCTCACGAGCCTTTTGGAGGCGGTCGACATCCCCTGCATTCGGAAATAAAGCAGATACACAGTGTTGAAGGCGGGTTTTCTCGCTAGAACCCGGAGAAATAGCTCGTCAGTGTGAAAACCTAATTTCACATCACTAAGGAAAGACTCACTTAAGCAGCAGAAATCCACGTCGATTCTCTTGCTTTGCAAGATATTGGTTGATTATCTCGTCACCAGTTGTCTCATCCGCGAAACGACGCCCACTCTGATTGAGCAGCAAGCAATATCTACTCTCTGTAGGTTCGTTAAATTTCTGGCAAATTATTACACAGGAATCGCTACTTACGATATTGTGCTAGTGGAAGATAGTCCTTGGGTTCCACTTCATCTGATCGGAGAGGAGCAGCCATAAGATGACCGTAGTAAGTGTTCATGCCCCTACTTGTCCCTGCTCCTGCTCCGATGGCTAGATTCAACCCATCGCCCACAGAACCTTTGTTCGAACGCACAAAAATGTTGTCCCCGCCCTGGCCCAGATATTTGGCTGTCAGGCTCGACGAACCCTGGAAACCACCGGTGGCCAAGACAACTGCCTTGGCCTTGATCTCGTAGTATGACGTGGATGGGCCACTGGATTGCACGCGACGAACAACGGCGCCATTGATGCGAGAGCCTGGAACGCAAGGGCTGTCCTGGATAAGTTTGACGACTGATGCGTTTGTCCAGATTCCAGAACCGGCCTTGCTTGACTCGATACGCTTGCGATGGAGGCTGTGGAGGTGAGGGATCTGGATCGGGAAGCCGATTCCTGCACTCTGCATCAGCACTGCGGACGGCCGGGTTGTCGATTGTAAGTCATAGCTACGTACCGATTGTCATGATTCCATCGAATCGCTCGGCTGTAGGCACTTGGTTTTCGCGCATCCATTGCACTGCCGGGAGGTATTCATTTAGCCATGCACGCTGCAGTTCTGGATCTCCATCTGGGACCCAAGACCTCAATTTGTCGTACGTCTGCGGGGCCCAGCTACCGAGTCGTCAGCAAAACATGTGCGAATTCCACGATGAATATAGACACATACAACATGCCTGCAGAGTAATTGGACGATCCACCCACAGTACCCTGTTTCTCAACAACTAACACTCTGGCTCCTGACTGTGCTGCGAAGGCAGCACATGCCATACCTGACATCCCTCCCCCGCATACTAACACGTCGACGTCAATGGATTCCATTGTGTGAGTAGCACTTTAGCTTCGTATGAAGTCAAAGGACTTGAGGGCATATTTTGCAGCTTCAGAGTCTCCAAATTCCGATAATAAATGCATGGCAAGCTCCCACACCTCATGGTGAACTACGCAGACAAGCCAAACAGCCTTAGGCCCACTCCCGGTGTCCGGTGTATAAATTAAATGGCCGGGTGAATCCACCGCCGGCAGCTCATCGTAATCCCTATGAGAGTACGTTGTTGATACATCCGACCACCTCGATATGACAGTCGGTAAATGCATTTCTGCAATCAACCAGTACGCAAGGGAATAATTTATCCGTCCAACGCCCAGCTCACTGTGCATCAAGCTGGACTTTGTAACTTGACGTGTCCAAGTATGAACATGACCTCATTGGCTGCTCCACGCCCCGCCCCCGGAATATCCTGCCTGCAACAGGATGCTCCTCGCAATCAAGCTGACATTGTGGCCGCAAGTCGCTGGCTTCGACGCTCCTTACGTGGGAATATGGCATCTACAGGTTTCAGAGATGGGAACTCGCCAGGACAGACTCGTACAGCGACCGCGCCCGCATGCGAGGCATGTCGGAAGCTAAAGGTACGCCAAGTCTTTTATCTCCAAGAGAGCGTCACTAACGATACACGGCAGATGAAGTGTACACGAGCTGAACCACAAGGTGGCGGGGGCATTTTGAGAGAGCCATGCGAACGGTGTAAAAAGACAAACCGTGCCTGCAAAATCCCGGACCCCCGACCGTTGGGCAGGAGACGAGGTGCTCTGGGTCGCTATCGCGGGTTCGAAAAGGCTTACCGAAAATTGCAGTCGGAGGAGAAAAGGGCGAGATTTTCGCGTGGAATAGACGATATTTATGAAGCCGGTCATCTGCCTGCTGGCGAGGAGCCAACTTTGGAATCTTCGCTGTCATATGAGTCGGCCGACCATTCTCGATTCTCATCAACAACTGATGACCCTTTTTTGGGACCCCCCGTCAGAACACCCGGGGAAACGGTAACGCAGGTGGATCACGAAGAAGAAGATCAATCTCAATTAAACCAGGAACCGATAAGCAACCCTCTCGCATTACTAGCCTATGCATCCGACGCTGCCCAAACATCGGAAGCGAGCCCAGTTTCAACCGACATTTTACCTACTTTGGACAGCCAAGCATTCACGAGGGAGCCGCAGGCCTGTCGCGGGACGGGAGAAAGTGAGGGATACCGTTTACTTCACAGACCCGGCTATGTTTCCCTGGGACTACAGTTAAGCCGAGCGAGTCTCGTGCAGGGACTGGATACTTTGCTAGCACCAGTCGATTGTGAATACCAGTCACTCGATTATTTCAAGGAGCGGACGCGGGCGCACCGACGTGATGTCGGTCCAGATTTAGACCCAGTAGATCTGAAACTTGTCACAATGGAAGAGGCGAACTACTTATTTCCCATGTAGGTATTTGAGCCTGGATCCTTTTTATGGAGGCCACGAGACTCTAATTCTCATAGATATTTTGCCCGGTTACACCCAGTGAATGGAATATTGGATCCAATGCTCCATACACCGGATTTTGTGCGTTCTGAATCCTCGCTGTTATTCACTTGGATCCTTGCAATCACGTCCCAATTTGACCATGCCTCAGCACCAATCGCCGAACGTCTACGACTCCATGGCGAGAAGCTGTCGAGATATGTGCATACATGTGGCTACAAGTCGGTAGAAATCGTTCAAGGATATTATATTTCGCTTCTCTCCAACACTCCAGCAAGAACTTTGACCGAAGAGCGTTCCTGGTTATATACAATGTATGCTTTTGGTGTGGCCACGGAGTTAGGGTTGGACCAGGAATCTGGGTCACATAGGTGCACACGCGTTGCTCACTCCTTTCGAAGCTCTCGTACGCAGCAGTGTCAGAATATGCCATCTTTTGATTCAGGTCCGGCTGAGGCATCCCCACGGTCTATACATGGGCCTTTAACTGATCATACGGCATATGAAGAACGACTAGCCCGAAATCGCGAAAGAACCTGGCTGAGAATTCTCTTGTGGGAGCGAGCAAACAGCGCAGCGTGCGGTCGAATCCACAGCTTTCCAGAGACCAGTTTGACTCGAGCCATCGACACATGGTGGTTACACCCATTGGCTGACATGACAGACAAATATACAAGTGCTTTTATTATCTTACGCAAGTCATTGGCTTCCCTGCAAGTCGAATTGAAACGTCAAGTACAGTTCACACACTCCGATCCTCACTGGGTTCGAGAACTTGTCGATACCGCTCTCCAGAACTGGTGCAACACATGGCTTCCACAACCCAGAAATAATACCTCTACTCTACTTCCTGAACAACTCTCCATTATATTTCTTCACCATGTGTATGTTCATGGACGGCTCTGGACCCTATCATTGGCATTAAGCGGCTCGGTTGCTCGTGCACAAGACCTGGATACCATTCGACAGGACTGCTTCGAAAGTGCTGTCAACTGCTGCGAAACCGCTGTACGAGACTTACAGGCCGTGGGAGAGCCATTGTACTGCATGCTAGCTCCTACATGGGCAATGATATCCTACGCAGCCGTCCTAACTCTCAAAATATTCCCCGCCTTATATGGGCCTCGCATTGGCATTGAAGTGGAGCTTCTTGCCTTGTTAAGCCAGGTAGCTCTGCAACTACAGCGTGCCGGTACTACGCCTTCACATCGCTTCGGTATCGCAGCACTTCTGGGGCAACATCTCATGATGATCCTACGGGCTAGAGCTGTCAGTCTAAGAGAGCCATCGCGCGCAAGAGAACGCCAGCTTGACCCGTCACATGACCATAAGCATGACATTGGTCAGCGGTTACCTGAATGGCCAGTTGCAACGCCACAGATAACTCCTCGAAATCCTCTTGTCTCGGACTGGGACCCGTTTCTGACGCCGGCAATATCGGATCAAGACGGTTTTGCTGGCGAGGGCTTCGCTGACATTTTCCGGGAAATATTTGGGCCAGGCTTTGGGAATTTCTTTTAAACAAAGAAAGCTGTTCGGTCTATCGTATTTTCCTCACAACCTTGGTATAAAAGAGATTGATTAATAGTTCAAAATGCTTCGAATATTTCCAAGGACCCACCATAATACAATACACTCAAGATTCAACTAATTTATACACTAGAGCTTGCAGTGATCTCTGGGATTGAGACTGTAATAGCTTTTTGATGCCCGGATACAATGTCCCAGACTGCTGAGTTTGATCGAATCACGAGGGAGTGATTGAAAAGAAAACCAGAAGAAACAGAAGAAACAGAATAATAAAAAAGTCAAGGGACAGTCGAGGATATCGATTATATGTTCTAATAGGTACAGATGACAGTAATGGAGAAGCAACTCTTTCTAGCCGTGGTGACTTTCTCGAGAGACACCAATGGTAATTTCTAGGTATGATATGTAGAGAGGTAGCCCGAAAATGAATGGATCGGCCCTTTGTTTAAGAACCCGGAAGCCAGTTATCTAAGCAGAGTTCAATGTAACTAGCTAGTTAGAGTAATATCAGAGGATCAAGGGAAGTACGGTGCAAATAGTCTGCGATTGAGAGGTCAGGATTTTCATTGTGAACAAGAAAATGATATGTCCTTCTGGAGACTCATAAACAGAAGTAGGCGTGGATGCGAGGAACTCGAGGCATGAGACTAGTTAATCGGCACTTTCAAAGACCTAGTTGACGTAGACCGGTCAATAAAAATAGTGACCGAGGTATGTCGGGGAAGGGGTAAAGGATCTTCCCCCGCTGACATATTAGTGATCGGGCATACAGACCCATCCTGGCTCGCATTTTCAGATAATCTCAATTGAATAAGAATGTCTAAACCGTTGCCGTCCACTGTCGCCAACGAGTTTGGTATCGCCACGCTATCTCTCGGCAACTGGAGAGAGCATCGACTGCAGCCCCGCCTCGAAGCAGCTGCTAAAGCAGGTTATCGATGGATTGACCTTTTTGACGAGTGCTGGGAGAAGTATCTTGAAGAACATGGCTTGCCAGGGGACCAACTGTGGGAGGCGACACCAGCAAACTTACAAGTCGCCCGCAAGCTCGGCAATCTGGTGAAGTCACTGGGAATGCGCATTGCTTGTACACAACCCCTACGCAAAATCGAGGGCGTCAAAGATCCAGTGGAGCGCCGCGCAACGTTAGACTTGGTCGCCAAGCGTTTCCCTTTTATGCGGGCTTTCGACACGGATCTTGTCTTTATGTGCGCTAACATCCGCACCGACAGCGGAGTCACATCTGATCTCAATACTGTTGCAAAGGATCTAGCCGAGCTTGGTGACATGGCAGCGGCCTTTACAAAGGCAGACGGCGGGCCAATGTTGAAAATTGGCTACGAGGGCCTTTCCTGGGCCGTACGGAACACCTGGTCGTCCTCATGGGAGGCAGTGCGATTCGCAAATCGTCCCAACGTCGGCCTGATTGTCGACGCGTTCAACATACTAGCCGTCGAATTTGCGGACCCTCACAACTCCGACGGACATGGGCGGATATTCCCCACTCTCGAAGAATCCATCGAAGTCCTCACTGCTTCTCTTGCAGCTATGGTCGCAACGGTTCCGGGTGATCGGGTTTTCTTTTTCCAATGCGGCGATGCAGAACTCGTGAATCCTGCGACAATTCTTCCGACAGAGCCCGATACACCGGCTCGCCTTCCATGGTCTCGAGGTCATCGTCTCTTCCCACTCGAACAGTGTCGGGGTGGCTATATGCCCGTTGAGTTAGTTGCCGCTGCTGTACTTGCAACCGGGTACCGGGGCCCTATTTCATTGGAGGTCTTTAATTACTCATTAAACCAGCCTGGGGAACGCATTCCAGAAGTTCATGCTACGCGCGGAATGTGCGGACTGCGTAAGCTTATCGCGACTGCAACGGCGTTGCCCCCTTTCTGGAGCGGTTGGTTAGAAGCCCAGAAAGCTGCAGACATGGTTGTCCAGCGGCTGCGTCCAAATACTTCACGATTATAACGTATTTGTAGAAATTGATAGAGAAATCTGTGGAAGAGATCAATTCACAATTGATGCCAAATGTGCCATATTCCAACATGCTTGCTGCATACCTTCCTATTAGGAATGACTACTTGTTCAGTAGTGGCTTGGGCAAGGGTGGGTTCATCAAAGAAAGCCTTATCGAATATCCAAAGCGGCAGCGTCCAGGGAAGGAAGTTTGTATAGGTTCATACGTCGCTTTTGCTTTACATCATTTCCCTCCATTAACTTTTACTTGGTTACCGATGTGGAATTATTTGCACATTGGTGAGCTGTGACATAAGTATCTGTCATAAAGCTAACTTACTGGATTTATCTCATACATCATGATTATACATTCCTTAACCTAATTAATTTACGGCAATGTAAAATATATATACGAGCGATTCCAGTAAATCAGGCTTGGAAGACGCGTTCATATTTCATTGAACAGATCTTAACCATGTCTTTTCAAGATAGTGCTTGCGATATCCATCTGAGCTCCAAGCCCGGAACTACCTCTCTGGTTGCTATTTGCAACAACGATGAAGGATCCGGTCTAGTCAACGAGGTTGAACTCGATCGATTTCTCGGGAACGAAGATGGTAATATAACCTGTTTCTATTGCAGTATGTGAACAAGCAATAACCTTGTCGATTACCAGGTCACTTCAGCTGGAACGGAAGGAGTTTCACTGAAAGTGCTCGCGACATCGAACTGCGCAGAGAGGGGCCATCTCGATTACCGGTCCTTCACGCCAATCTTCAGAACAGTTCGGGAGAATATGTGGCTGATGAAATCTGTCTCGCTGAGCATATCCGTAACATGGATGGTCAGCTTGAAGATATTGGAATGGTCTGAGTTTTTACAAGATCTTCTATAGCTTCATAGCATGGTCTTAATCTGAGTATCTGGAGAGACAGCACTAGTGGAGAGTAAATGCATAATGATGAAATTGTCGACGACATTCTGTAGTTAATACGAAGCTTTATTTTGCCACTCAAATAAGGTTAAGTTCATGTGTCATGTCTTCCATGAACCATGGTACAGTATACGAATGCATTAGTGCTGATCTATGAGGGGTTCTTTTAAATACCATGTTTCCACTGTTGCATTATACACATCTGATCAACTTCAAATCGTGTTAGTTGGTATACCTTACAAACATGACACCTAACAGCATTGCCCCTTCTACCTGTCCCGACGCCGATACCGAACGGAGTATAGAGAAAGATAAATCAAAGAGGGCGAGAAGAAATCCCGGAAACAAAATAGAGCTGACGGAAGTTGCTGCTTGGGACAAGCTAGGGTACAGCTTTCCCACCTGGAGAAAATGGATGATACTGTCTGTGATGTTCTGCATCCAGATATCGATTAATCTCAATGCAAGCCTCTACGCAAACGGTGTCTCAAAAATATCCGAGAAACACGGCGTCAGCGAACAAGTAGCTCGAATCCCCCAGATGACATTTTTATGCGCTTATGCGTTCGGCTGTGAGCTTTGGGCACCGTGGAGTGAAGAGCTCGGCCGATGGCCCACACAGCAGCTCAGTCTGTTCCTGGTCAATATTTGGCAACTTCCATGTGCATTGGCACCAAATTTTGCAACATATATTGTCGTCCGTCTTCTCGGGGGTTTATCGACATCCGGCGGCTCGGTCACCTTGGGCGTTATTGCGGACATGTGGGAACCGGATGACCAGGAATATGCCGTGGCGTTCCTCGTTCTATCTTCAGTTGGCGGCTCCGTCGTTGGTGCGGTAGTTGGTGGGTTTGTAGAGGATCGCCATCCCCTATCGTGGATCTTTTGGGTTCAGCTTATTGCGGGTGGTGCTGTTCAGGTTATGCACTTCTTGCTCGTGCCAGAAACCAGATCCACTCTGATACTGGATAGGGAGGCAAAGAGACGACGTAAGGCCGGCCCCGGAGAAGTCAATATCTGGGGTCCACATGAGCTATATGGATTCGAACTGTCTTTGCGAGACATCTGGGTTGTCTGGAGCCGGCCTTTTCACATGCTTTTCACGGAACCTATTATCCTGTGGCTTTCGCTTCTGAGTGGCTTTAGTGACTCCTTGATATTTACTTTTCTCCAGGGGTTCACGCCGATCTATAAGCAGTGGAATTTCGGCACGATTGCGATCAGTCTTTCGTTCATACCGTTAGTGACCTCCACTGCCCTACGTCCTCCAGAAGGCCCGTGACTGAAACTTGGGGTCACTGATCAGGTTATTAATCGGTTATCTTCTTGCATATATATCCTTTCTGCCCTCTATCCACATGTTCCGGAAGAAACGCCGCAAGTTTGGCTCCGATTCAGTGCAGCCAGAAGCGCGATTGTGGTGGCTGCTTTATGGTGAGATGAACAACATTCGGATCACAGAGAACTTAACTGACAGAGAAAACAAAGTGATACCGTGCTTACCCATTGGCCTTTTCGGCTTTGCATGGACGAGCCTTGGTCCTCCGCAAGTCCATTGGATCGCCCCTATGATCTTCACCACGATCATAGGCATAGCCAACGTGAGGCGCCTTTTTTTTTTTTTTTTCTTTTCTTTTCTTTTTCCCCCTCATTATTTCAGAGAGGCAATTTTTAACTAACTTATTTATAGTACTCTATATATCAATCCTCAATCGATTACACCGTCGCAGCTTATGGTGTGTACGCAGCCTCTGCCACGGGAGGCAACGACTTTGCGCGCGACTTCCTCGCCGGAATTGCGGCCCTGTATTCGACCCCAATGTATGAAAACATAGGCGATAAGTATTCCTATGAGTACGCTTCAACTATTCTTGCTTGTATCTCTGTGTTAGTCACGGCCCCGATATACTTCTTCTATCGAAAAGGCCCTGCAATACGGGAACGGTCACCATTCGCAAAGAAGGTTATGGAGGAAACAAAACAACGCAGGATCTTGCGGACTGCTGGAGGAACCGAAAAGCAAGGGCCTGGGTATGGTGGATCGGCTGCTCATGTTGAGACAGTTATTGCATAGATCAGGGTATTATATTGGTTGCATTGGTGGATACAATGGATGCGGTTATCAAGTCTGTTGATCCGTTGTGTATGGTCAGTGTTGAAGTATGTCTTTCTTTTTTCTTTCCTTGTGCTCATCATCGCTGTCTTGATAGTTAAAGGGAGAGGTCAAAGTGTTGGCATTTCCCCATGTAAGTTAATCGTACCCTTATCATCATTTTATAAAGACTTTCCATCTTTCCTTCCCTTTTCTTCTCTTCTCACTTCACTGGTGTGTAACCAATGAAAATGTAAACACAAATTCACACTATCTTGCTGAGAGATATCTACAATACTTGGACACCACCTTGCTCCCCTTCCCAATCTGCATCATCTACCTCCACCTCTGCCATAAAAATATGTGTACCCTTCTAGCCAGATTCACAAGTGACATCTTGGTGACTGCCCTGATTATTCCTGGTGTTTTCAATGCTTGAAAATCTCTTGCTTGATGTTAATTATAATGCTGTATTCTACACACCCTGGAGCAAGGAATTGCACCTTCTTTCATCCCTCACATCAGAGTCATCCCAATTGACGGCTCTAGCGCCTGCCTTGACTTTTGGCATTCGTGGGCTGTCCACAAAGAAGGTGATTCTGTTTGAAAAAAATGAATCATGTCAGAACTGTCTCTATAAGATATGCTCGCTTCACTTTGAAAATGAGAATAAATATGGAGTATAGCCTCACTCACTCGCTGCGCTAGTTTGGCAACTAAAACAAAAACATACAACAGCCGGGATTCGCTGGTGGTCACCCACCCAAACTACTAACTGGTTTGCGTGTGGCTTGTGTGCAATATTCTACGGCAACTAGTTTTACCAGACACACATGATCTTAAGTACAGTATCAACAATATGAATGGAAGCCACAGCAAACAGTGTAAACAAATTCAGCTATTGTCACGGGCTCGGAATAGTAGATAATATTGAATCAATGTTCCTATCTAAACTATTGTAGCCAGCGACGAGAATATCGAATCTGGAGAAGAGAAGAGAAAAGGAAATCTATCTGGATAATGAAGAGGTTTTTTATAGGGGTTGTTGGTGGCAGGGTTGTATAGCGGCATTTGTGATGTATCATCTTTTGATGCAGTGTTGGGCCGTTATATGTGAGCTATCATGTGTGAGCCATCACAGCTATATCTTGGAGAAATAGAAAAAGTAAACAATGCTTGACAAAGAGGGATATCTGACTCTGTGCTTGTATATGGGATGGCTAGGATCACAATAGCGCCTTGAATTAAGAGGAAAGAATGAGGTGGGGCCATTGATAATCTACTTGTCACGGGCTCGGAATAGAAGATAATACGAACTGAATTCCTATCTTGACTATTGTAGCCATCAACGAGAATATCGAATCTGGGAAGGAAAAAGGAGAGGAAATCTATCTGGCGAGTGCAGTCTCTATATAAGCCTTTGTGCGATGCGGCTTGAGCCCTTGTTTGTCCATATTGCTTGTATGGCATCTTTTGGCATGTTGGCAATGTTTGTCTGGTCGTTGAGCCGTCACACTACTATGTCTCTATATAGTAAATATATATCTATACCTACCCTAATATTCGTCCCTATAATAGCGCTATTCATACTTATAAACAATCTGGCGCCCATAAATTAATTCAAGAAAAGAATCATTGGAAATATAAGACAAATATGCGAAGGAAATTGGAAATGCATCAATAACATGCATTGGCCATACTATGTACTTGTTATGGATAATGCATCTTTTAACCATACTGAGCAAGTGAAAGATCTGTGATCAGCTGCTGGAGTCAAGTTAGTATACATAGTGCTTATAACCCTACTGTCACGGGCTCAGACCAGTAGATAATAATGAATTGATATTTGTATCTAAACTAGTGTAGCCATCGACTAGAATACCAAACATGGAGAGGAAAGAAGAAGATGAATCTATCTACAGGACAAAAGGGGTTTTATCTATGGTGTGACGGCCAAATGCTGCATCGATAGCCGATATAGACAAACAACACCAACACGTCAAACGAGCCGTACAAGCAATCAAGACAAACACGGGCATTAACCCTGTCGCACAATGACTACAAAACCTCTTCATCATCTAGATGGATTTGCTTTTTCTTTCTTCCTCTCTCCAGATTTGATATTCTCGTTGATGGCTACAATAGTTTAGATAGGAATTCAGTTCATTAATATCTGCTATTCCGAGCCCGTGTCAATCAACATGCAAAGTAGCTGCGAGTGACTCCACAATCTAAGCGCTGGTGGGGACCAGAGATTAGAGAGGCCCGCAGGACCTACAGTCAGGCAAGGCGGGCATGGCAAAGACAAGAGATCTCAACAACAGAGTTGAGAGAGGTCCAGACTAGTTATTATCAAGTCATCCAATAAGCAAAGCACACCTGCTGGGAAACCTTCCTGGAAAGGGTGAGTCGGTGACAGACCAGCCAGGCCTTGGGGATACTGCCAGGTGCTGGTAGGCTCTGGATTAAACAAAGCCTAGGACAGCCACAACCACCCCAACACTGCGCGGACCCCAGGGACAACTTGCCAGTTACATTAATGGGAAGGAGGCCCTGATTCATGAGACAGCCTTCCTGCAGGCACCAGGGGTTAATCAGGAGGTTGAGATCTCACCAGGATCCTGGCATGGTCAAGTAGATGAGGAAATATTTAAACATGCTCTGTTTCACCAAGCGGTCCAAAAGGCCCCAGGAATTGATCAACTTAAATTCTGGACTCTCCGGCTCTTATGGGAGTGGGACGGTCCCAGAATCACTGCTCTGACCTGACAATGCTTCCGGCTGGGCCTACACCCACCAGTATGGAAGGTGGCAAAAGGCATCCTGTTAAGGAAACCCAATAAGCCAGATTACTCGACGGTGAAGACCTATCTGGTGATCAGCTTGCTTAACTGCCTAGAAAAGGTGGTTGAGAAGATAGCTGCAGATACAATTGCTCACCACTGTGAGACTACAGGAGTGTTGCACCCAGGGCAGATGGGCAGCCGCAAACAACGGAGTGCAATCGATGCCGTGGCATTTCTGATACAGAATACCCATGAGGCCTGAAAACACCAGCAGCTTGTGGGAGTGCTGTTCTTGGACGTGAAGGGAGCATTTGACCATGCCAATCCAAGCCGACTGGTGAGCCGGCTGATTGAATTCGGCCTGGATGGGGATCTGATCCGGTGGGTTTTTCCTGTCTGATCAATGGGTTCAACTGCAGATTGACAACACAGTGCCCAGCACACCCAATCAACTCACATTTCCCGACACTATTTTCTCCGCCGAGTGATTTTCATAACGCTCCAAGGACTTCATTCGTTCGTCCAGTTCTTTGCTGAGATTGTCCCCGACGTAAGCCAGTACCAGACCATTAGGCTCTTTGATGGTGTAGCCTCCGTTCGCAGTCTCGAGATCGACATCTGGGTGGGAGGCAGTGAATTCTCGGATGTCGTTTTCGGTGTCCAGGACCGTAGCGCCCTCGGGTAGAGGGACGTTATAGCGAGTGGTGGCTGCATAGATCGTCGCGACTAGGCTGATGAGAAACAGCTTGCGAAGGGCGACGGCGGAAAACATTTTCAAGAGGTAGGACAAGAAGTTCAAAAAAGAAGTCAACGGGCGGTCGCTTTGTTTCTTTCTCTCTTTTCTTCCTAATACTCAAGAAGAACGATGTGTGATATATTGGCTTTGTTCAGGGAGACATAGGCGACTTAAATAACGGCACAGCTCAATTATAATTCTCCCTTCCATAAGCTGACACAGACAGGAATAATTGCTTTGTATTCATCCTTCATCCCATCATACCACGTCCGGTTACATCCCACAGCCGCATAAGCATAAGCATAATCCCTGCTTCTAGAATTACCAACAATCCATCTCCGGATGATTGGTGTTTGTCTGTCTCTCACCTAAGCCGCATACTCATCCGTCAGCTTCTCGCCCGCTGCAATCTTCGCTTCCAACTCGGCGTTCCTGCGGTCGATCTCCTTACACATTTCATCCGATGCCACGGCGACGACGGTCCCATCGGGATTCTTCGCGTAGTGGCTGTTATTCTCGGGATAGAAAATGGCGTACGGGTTCGCCTTTTGGATTTTGATGAAAGTCAAGGTGGATCAATAGTTGGTCCGATTACCGAGGCCGACAGACCTCTCATATACGGACACACACACATTCGGTTTAGATAGCCAAGCACTCGTTCCATCACCTTTAGGTCTATAGAGATCAATGTCATCCTCCTTGTGTAATTAAAATTCGTCGCCTACAGCCTCGTGCAGTCCGGATAATCGACTCCCCCGACTTCCCCGATACGGAGTTTTAACCGCTACATTGGTTTATCCGTTTCAGATTTTGGCGGCTTCATCAAGGGCAGTGAAGACGCAGACACCCTCGGGGATTAGGTCCTTGTAGCGAGTGGCTGACAGTTCTGGATCCTTCTCGCGGCAGAGGCAGAGATTGAGGGCGAAATGGGTGATAGGCAACGTAAGATGCGAAGAATATCGATCCATTGATGCCATTTATAATACAGCATTGCATCCACGGATGTGATGTGATGTCAGCCCAACAGTCTTCTGATTTGGCTACGTCTCAAGTAACATGGCCTGGGCATCTGATAAGATTCTTTGATCGTCACCCAACCAGAAAGCTTGAACCCGATTGGCCTGATTTCACCTTTTCCTTGTCCTATTTATTTATTTATTTAATCAAGTTTAACGTCCATACCGAGCCCCAAAGGCTATGACAGACCGCTAACAAGATGGCAGACCTACAGAGGTGGTGGTGATTCATTTACCCTGACCCCTCGCCGTAAGCGATATGCAGGCTACCACAACTAGGACTATCCTTCTTTCTCTACTTACAGTGTTCCGCTACATCCTGACGAATTTGGAGCCTCGTCAAGGCCTGTGGCGGCCTATGTGCCGGGTGTCGTGTTTTGCGGCCCCCTTGGCGCGCGGCTGTGAAACCTTTGAGATGCTTCTGCAAAATCCAGGACAGCACCAATTGTGCTCTCCTGGGCAGAGCTACCTAACCTACCTTCCTTACCTTCTTGTCCACGTCCTCCTAGCATGCATGATATATTATTGAATGCATCTCCAACCTTCTTCCGCAGTTCCTGGCGCAGCTCTTTCAACCTTGGACAGTCCACTAAGACATGGACCACTGTTTCTTCAGCACCGCACTTGCATTCCTCATCTTCCCAAAACTGATGTAGCTTCCCATGTGCTGCTAGCCATGAGTGACCAGTGCGTAGCTGTGTGAGCAGGTAAGGCCGGTTCCATGATAACGAGCCATACATTCATCGAGTATGGACTGAAGGCAGTGCAGTGTCTATTTGGCGGAGGTGGCCTCTTTTCTTTGATGGTTTCCATTCCTGTTCTCATTGCTTACGGACCTGGTCTTGGATCATCCTCTTCCCACGTGAAAGGGGCCGATGAAAGGGGTGTGCTCCATTTGGACCAATGGTCTCCTTGGCTAGCTGGTCTGCTGTGCCATTTCCAGGGTTGTCGCAGTGTCCTGGGACCCACTGGAGGCGAAGGGGCAATTCACGCGCTTTCGTCTCCCGCGCTGCTTGTAGAATAGCATACATAACCCACTGCCCAGACTTGTTGGCTGGGTTCCTAATTACTTGCAACGCTGATGTGTTATCACAGAGGATGGTGGCTGGTCTCTGGTCTATAGCTAAGGATCCTTGCCGTTGGCGGGTTACCTTGTATGCGAGACTGATGGCATAGAATATTCCAATGAGCTCTGCCAAGTGGACTGTCCAGTGTGCCATCGATCCAATACAGACTTGTCGAGATTCAGCAACACCCTGATGCTGGTTTAGGATCACTGCCACTGCACTGAGATGGCCATGTTGCCCTGATGCGCCCAAATAGATGACCACTCCTGGGTCTGCTTGTAGGTCAGAGGCCTTCTCTTTGGCTGTTTCTCAGTCTGAGTCGATTTCAATATCCGCGAAGGCGGGAGGACTCCATGGTGCCAGCGGCTTTGGGTCAATGATCTCTAGCCTGTCAAGCCGTTTCATGTGCATGGTCTTCATTGTCTCAGCGAGTGGGAACCGGGGGTCGGGGTTCTTGTGTTTGCTCCGTATCCGGGCCCGTGTGATCACGCTGTGAATTAGGTGGCTTTCAGGTAATGTGCTCAGGCGAGCGATGACCATCTGGGCCCGTTGCTTAAGTTGCAGGTGTGTGGGCAGCATGTGGGATTCCACCTCCAATGTTGGGGTTGCCACTGTTTTGAAAGCAGAGAGGACACGGAGGGCTGTGCGCTGAACTGTTTAGAGCAGCTTGAGATGTGTTTTGTCTCTGAGCGGGTTGTGCCAGACTGTTGATGCATAGTCCACAACAGGAGCCACGCAGGCTTGATATATCTGTCTCATCTGCTTAGGCCGGAGATGTCTCAGTCCTCCCAGGGCAATATTGACTTTGGTCGCCCGTTTGACTGCCTGCTGTACGTGCTCCTTCCACCGCATCTCCTGGTCGAACACCACCCTCAGGAGCTTGGCAGACCTATGTATTCAGTACATTCAGTTTCTTAACATCCTTATTTGACCATTCATAACTTTTTCTTCGCCCCATTCCGCCTTATCTGCGCAGGGCATTTCATTTCTTATGCCCCTATAGCGCTACGATAACTGTGGCTATAGGGCCCTAAGAAAATTCCATACTCTCCCTGTATTATTGGCTAGTCACTCTAGCCACAGTAGATAGATCCTGGTGGTGCTCTCATAAACCATTTAACCCAACAGTTCATGGAGTGACGTAGCATAGTAATATGTCAGTCAAATGCCCAACGAATGCTGGCTTTTAAGGCTTTGAGCCAGTTGATAGCTTGAGTGGTAGTTGAAATATGACTGGTCAGACCCCTGTATGTTTGTGGTGAGACTGCATTATCAAATTCCCCGCTGGATCGTCCCCTCAATAAGCACCAGACACTCAATGTTCTTCCGTCAAACTCTGTCTTTCATCCAGTGTGGTGAGAACATCACTATCTTTTCGAAATTGAAAATGGCTCTCTGTAACTGTTTATAATTTTTGAAGAAAGGTCTACCGGCTGAGGTAACCAAAGATGTCCCATCGGGTCTGTCCGGATTGCCATTTGCAGGTCTGAAGCCAGCAGGGAAGGAGAAAGCATGTGAAGCATTCAATGGAACTCAAAATCAACATTCGGAACGGCCCGTACCATCAGAAAAGGAGACAAGCGAGTCAATATTTGTGAACAAGGATCAAGAGCCACCTAAAGAAGAAATCCCTAGTGGCCCTCCCATACAGCTCATTGCGGAAACGATCTGGAATGAAGCCTACGACAAACTCAGGAATGATGAATCCAAGAAATCCTTGGTGGAGGAATTCGAAACTATTCTACAGAGGGAGAGAGAACTTCTCAAGCTGGATATAAACCACATTGGTATATTAAATCCAGCATTTGCTCGATATCTACCCTGCTAATTACTCTCATAGGGAAAAAAAAAAAAAAAAAAAAATAAGTCTATGATCAGTGAACTGGCAAAACTCAACTTATTGATCTTCTGAACTCCGATACTTGGCGCAACCCATTGGAATTGAATGGTCTCAGGGGAGTGATTTGGAATGAAATAATCAATCTCTATACATTATTGATCGAGTATCAGTTGCAAAGTTGCAAAGTGTACGTTCTTACCATCACCCAGGCTCAAGCTTTGCAAAGAACATGGTCAAATGGGATGAGTGGGACGGTATGATTGCGAGTATCAAAGATGCTGAAAAAGAACCCGACCAGTATATTTCTGCCGACATGACCGGGGCTTCCCAACAAAAATTCAAAGAAATAAATGCAAAGATGGCGGTGATCATTTACCTCTTTCAAGGGAGCAAGATGGTCTTTTGACAGATATTCATGGCTCCAGCAATACGCACATGAGGCTATTGGAACGCCAGGAGAATGCAATGATCGCCAAAAGGAAGGAAGAACCCGCGCAAAAAATTGAAGCCTGATCCATCTTAGTTTGATATCGAAGTTTACCAACAAATGTCAGTCAAATTGCCCGCCCATACAACGGCACAGAGAAAGGGGTTCTCGAGCACCCGAAGTTTACTGAATGGGCAAGTGGCGACAATGGAATTCTGGTTCTTGCAGCACATCCCGGAACTGACATGTCTGTTCTTGCTAAACATTTGCTGGATGAGCTGCCAAAATAAAAGCCAACTATCGTGTGTTCTTTCTTCTTCAAAGACAATAACAACAAAGGGCAAACGAAGCTGAAGGTTGCTCTCTGCAAGATCCTGTATGAGATTCTCAAGGATTGCACATCACTTGATGATACAGTCGCAGAAAAAGCCAACAGGCTGGACACATATGAAATACATTATTATTTAATCAAGTTCATTGTCCATATTGAGCCTTAAAGCTATGCTAGGCCATATTCCATGTGTGACGGCTCAACGCTGCGTCAACAACTGACACAGACAAACGACACCAACACGCCAGACAAGACATTAGTGATGTCAAACAAACGCCTATAAAACCCCTTCTTCCTCTAGATAGATTTCCTCTTCTCTTTCCCCCCCAGATTTGATATCATTCTAATCATTTTCCTCGCCGCACTCATTCTACCATCTATGATGTCTATATATATCAATGCCACCCTCTTTAGTGTAATTCAAGTTTCTCGCCTATAGCCTCGTGCAGTCCGGATAATCGACTCCCCGACTTCCCCGACACGGAGTTTAACCGCTTCATTGGTTTATCCGTCCGTGGCGGGCATCCTGCGATTCTCGTTAGCCGCCAAACCCCACCCTGCCAGGTCGACCGAGGCCGAGTGCACAGGTCGCATGTAGGTGGGGCATTTTCGTGTCAGGTAACTAGTCCAAATTAGGCGATGGTCACATGATGCGCTACCTGACACGACTTTTTCCCACTTGACACTACCTTTCTCTTTCAATACAATACAACTCTTTCTATCTCCCCTCTACCCCTCCTATTGCCTGCTTTCCGCGACATGGCTGGATACGATAATGTGAGAATAAATCTCTTACTGGTTTCTGACTAGTCGAGAACTGACTACCTACCCTACTGATTAGCCCGAATACCGTGCCTACCAGACT